GTAGGGAGCGTCCGCTTGGTTGGGCCAGGTGGTGACGCAACCGCCTTGCCCCACTGGCTCTCGTGCTGTTGCCCGCCCCCAGCGATCGTGCCTCCGCTTCGACACACCTGTGGGGCGGGTGTCCAGTAGCCCTCTTTGTGGGTCAAGGAATTTTCGCTGTAGGCCTCTCGCTGGTAGGTCTGCCTCACACACCAGATCACGCGCCACACACCGCGCCTTGTCCCGCCTAGCACCCTGGAGGCTCACCAATGCACATCTCTCCGCCAACCTGACTGGGTGTTTTAACAACAAACAATTCCTACACTAAACAAAAACTAAACACACATGGTTCCAAAAAGGGCCTATCAAGAACAAAAATTTAACTAAGCTACATCTAGCCCTATCAAAAAAACAAAAATTTAACTAGACTAAAGCACTGGCCCCACTCGTGCTACCAATTTGTAAGCCCTGCTAGGGGGGGATACCTTAAAATCTATCTTACCCTTCCCTAGGCTTATCTAACTAACTACTGTCCGGTCAGTGCAAGCCCGGCTAAACCCAGGCTGGTTAATAACCTAACCTTAGTCTAAATTAAAAACAAAAAAACTTTAACAATAATATAAAATTTATTTCACAAAATAATAAATATGGAACCAAAGTTATTATAAAAAAACTAGAATCTATCTAGATAAAATAAAACACTCAAGACATACAAAACAAACAGAACTCAACGAAACAAAACAATTCATATATAACAAAACATTACGTTCGACCATTTGCTGGTGTTGCTCCGACTTATGATGTCTAGGATGGTCCAGGCCCTGACACACAGAAACCTCCCTTCATCCATTCTCGACATCCAAAAGTCCACACCAAACAAAACACTACCTCCAACAAAACACAAAGCGCGACCACAGAAGCTGACCTGACCTACATTCTGGCGGTCAAAAAAAGGAAGAAATTATCCGAGTGGTCAGTTTATATACTGACCGCTTCGGACGGAAGGGGGACCCCGTGGCCTGTTCCCCATTGGACCACCATGCACTCCCAGATTCGCAACAAATAAAATTAATACAAAATAAATAATATATATATACTAGCGTACCCATCCTCAGTGCGTTGCCGCGGGGATAGAATAAAGTCTGACGAAATATATTAGGATATCACCAATGCATTACCAATCATATGTTCTTAGACGCGTGACCTTGTTTTCTAAAATTGTGTTTTTTAAATGTAAACAAAGCCTGCGCTTGCATTATAATTATCGGGACACGGGTTTTCCTACACTACCGCGTGAAAACCTTGAGTGTACATTAATCACTCACCGAAATAATGAGGTAGAACACACTTCGGTGACCCCCCATGTGTCAGGGACGTAGAGGGGCGCTCTCAGGAGCCCCCCCCCCCACCCCCCGATTACACAACCGCATAGGCGCAGCGTACGGCCCCTGGCTCCTTAAAACTAACAGGCGCCATCGTGCTCATAAGGATAACCCAGCGTGCCTTTTCTTTAACACGTAAATAAATTATTTGACGTGTTTTAAACATCAGTGTGACTGATGCAATATGCTAGCGTTACTAATGGTCTATTATTAGATGTTCGATCTCAATTTCTGACTGGATCGTCGAATAATAGATGCTTATTTCATCATTCGCAAAGTGACGAAACTCTACAGTAGGCTCCTCATATTCAAAAAGTTATTTTTTCATCTTTCGCAATGTGACGAAACTGTACAGGATTTCCTCGCGTTACAAAGTTATTTTTAGAAGCCTGTTGTAGTTTTACCGCTGAATATAGTAGTACCCCTTACTCTCTATGCAGGACTCTCGATTAACGGATGCCAAGTGCCAACATAGTCGCTCTAAAACTTTGGGTGTATTGACGAAAATTGTACCCTACATGGCGCCGCCCATAAGAAACTTTAGTTTTCTTTTTCGCAGAAATATTCTCGGGAGTATTCTCATCTATTCCCTATGTTTCATGGCACTCGGATGAGTTATATTTTTAGCGCAATTTCCATACTGACAATTGCGATTGTTAATTCGTTATTTCTGGATGGATGGATGGATGGATGTGTGTCCGCAGCTTTAAGTCGTATCTCCTCCTCAACGAAGCAATATCAAGGACTAGTTCCAAAGCAAATATGTTAAGCAAGTTCCGAGGATGATTGTGGGCCAAAAAAAATTCCCGGAATTCTTTCCTGGATTTCCCGGAAAAGCCAAAAAAACTCGAAAAAAATGCAGTTTTTGGCCCATATCTTGGCAACCAGACCACTTAGCGACTTGAAACATTTACCAATCGATTTCTGCCATAATTTAGAACAATATTGCCGAAGAAAGTTTTCAAAAATATCCTTTCGTTCGGTCACAAAAAATTAATTAAAGAAATTGCGCTTAAATTGTCACTAGACTTTTTATTAACTTGTTTATATACCGTGTATAGAGAAAAAAATCGCTCCCCCGGGGGCACCGTCCTTGCAATATTAAAAAAATATTTTTTTGCAGAACCCTACCATTGAGTAATCTAATCATCTTCCCAAAGTTTCATGGTACACGGATGAACGGTGTGAAACCGAAATAGACTCTGCACACATAGACATAGAACCACATAGGCAGACACACTGAGACACAGACATAAAGACTCAAAGACACAATGTCACTTCTGTTACCAGATCAATCAACACTTAATTTCCAAGTGTCGCATGCTAGTAGGTTGTTTCTAACTCAGAAATCATTCAGCTGTAAATATTATTTTTGCTTGACCTGTATCTTTATTACAAACCAGAGTTTACAAAAAGGAATCAGAGCCCAAAAACAAATGGACCGATCTGAAAATCTCTTGTAGCTCCAGACATACGGAATGATTCATTTTTTTTTTACTTTCTCGTATGCTAAGTATAGAGAAAGTATTGTTATCGTGCAAAAAAAAAAAAAAAAAAAAACCAACAACAACAACAACGAGATTTTGCAAATCTCGACGCTTAATTAAACTTAAGTTTGCAATCATGTCCGTATGTCTGTGTGTGTGTGTATGTGTGTGTGTAAGTGTATGTGTGTCTGTGAACACGATAACTTCAGTACCGTTACAGCTAAATTGATGAAATGTTATATCAAATTTGTAGATCCGTAACACTTGAGCGATTTACGGTAATCGGAAGTGGAACTTATTCTACTTTTTCAAAACCTTATGACTTGAGTACTGTTTCAGATAGATAAATGAAATTTCAAATAAAAGTAAAATGTCTAATTCTCTGCCTTTTCTCAAATTTTGAAGTAGTAATTTTCACTATTTCCAATTTCTCAAAATAACGCATGAATTTATAAAGTACTAATAATATTCCGCACTATTATCACTATTATACACATACTGTTTGGCGTTCATTTGGTGCGCAATAGTAGATATAAGGTCACTTTTGGACCGCAGGCGCAGGCGCTGGTGGATGCGGATGCGCAGGCGCAAAGGATATATAGTAAAATACTCGGATGCGTATGCGGATACGCAGGCGCAGCCTGGTACAACGAGATATAGTAAAATACTCGGGATGGGGATGGGGAGCCTGGTACAACGAGATATAGTAAAATACTCGGAAGGCGCCTGACCTACTGACCTACTGGCCTACTCCCCATCCCCTGCGCATCCTCCCCATCCCCATCCCCATCCGCATCCCCATCCCCCTCCGGAGTATTTTACTATATCTCATTGTACCAGGCTGCGCCTGTGCCTTCCGAGTATTTTACTATATCTCGTTGTACCAGGCTCCCCATCCCCATCCCGTGTATTTTACTATATCTCGTTGTACCAGGCTGCGCCTGCGCCTGCGCACCCGCATCCGAGTATTTTACTATATATCCTTTGCGCCTGCGCTCCCGCATCCACCAGCGCCTGCGCCTGCGGTCCAAAAGTGACCTAATATACTACTCGCAATTCTTTTTTCTACAAGATTCTATTCTACTTTAAAAAGTTTAAGTAATTAAAATGGATTAAAAATCAAGTCTATATCCCGAGTTGCCATCTCCCGTAGTGTTATATAAGAATATTCGAGAAAGTTTAGGGGAGATCACTCCCGGATTTTAAAGTTATGCTCGATTGCTTCGTTTCGATATGCTGTACATTCGTGGATTCATGCATTAAAATTGTGACAGCTGTTTTATTAGACGTTAATCTGGTATGATCCGAATGAATCACATTGGTCTTAGTTGCGTTTTCCTCATTCTAACACACATCAAACATACACAGTGACACACAGACATAATCATGAAACAAACATAAACACGCAAAAACAAACACACAACTGCATACACCGATCAACACTCAGACGGCATAGAAATAGACACACAGACAATCAGACACGGACACAGAAACATAAACATCGAGTAATAGTCAATTAAACACACTTACACATACACAGATAAATACAAATACATTATATATAGACACCCATAAATACATACACGCTGACAAACAAACATAATTACATTCAGACTCACACAAAAGAAGCACCTAATTATACATGCAGACAAACAGATAGACACACACACACACACACACAATACAAAAATACTCTTTTGGAAAAACACATATAGTTAATCACAAGCATAAATTTAAAGCTACACACAGACAAACATAACATACACATACATACACATACACACGAAACACACACGTAGATGCAAAGAAACACACAGACAGACACACAGACGTTAAGACACCCAAATACTGACAGACACACTGATACAGATTCGATCAATCAACTAATAATGATAAAGTATCACATGCTATTTCTATTATAAAAAGTAATCCAACGTAAAAATTATTTCTCTTATTTAGAACAATTTGATTGTGTTCATAATAGATGTAGGCAATGCACACGATGGACCACAGAATCTCACACAAACATACATAAAGACACACACACACAAAGCATAGATACAACAGTAGCTGATTAAGGGTGGGGGGTGGGGGGCTGATAGGAGCCGCAAAATTATCATTCACAAATCATAATAAACTTCTGTTTAACAGATGAATATTCAGACACTTTTTTTTTATTCAGACATATTTTTAATGAAACTGCACTGAAAAATTAAGTAGTTTGATCTGGTACAAGTTTAAGAATCTGAGAAGACAATATCTAGAATCGTGTTGTAAATGAGGGGTGCCGCGTCGAACGCCCAGATAAAGTCTAGGTGCTCGTAGTGGGGTATTCTGACGTCATGGGTCACGTGGATCTGTGGGAGGAGCCAGGCGATGTCCGTGGGGTCAGCCAGCCAGTCCCGGTCACCTCGTAGAACAGCCACGGGGACCTTGACCTTCTTAGGGTCATACAAGGGCGGGGTGGGCTGAAATGAGAACATATTTTGCTTTATTCTTTATGTGTGGGTGTAGGAGCTACATCTTTACAAAACATCCTAAGTGAAACGCAAGCTTCCCTGCGACAATAAGGTACGATGTGGGAGAGGGAAGGGGTGTGGGGGTGGGGGGATTTTTCCAGGTAAAATTTTGTTTATAAGCGTACCGTCGTTTATGGATGACCCCTTACCTGGCCGTAATGTTTCATGTTCTCCTTGGCTGACCCATAGTCAAAACGCTGGAAATTTCTGGAGTTTATAGCCTGGAAGAATCGAAACATCCGATAAATTTTACAGTTTTTACAGAAACATACCAGACATTTTTAAGTGGTGAGAAATTAACAAATTTTTCTTTACCCTATTTAACACTTCATATGTCTGGGCAAGTCCTTTTTTTTTGTTAACATTTTGTTGGTAATTCATTAACAGTAATTTCTTCTATATGTAAGCTCTCATGCTATTGTGGTATTTTTTGCGGTTGTTTTATATCACTAAGGGGTCGTCCATAAATGACGTCACACTCGTAGGGGGGAGGAATTTTAGTCGTTATTTCGCGTTTTAGAAAACTGTTTTGATAAATTGTAATAGGGATTGATTAAAATACTCTATTTTGACAGAGTTCAGACAAGATTTTGGAAAAAAAATCGATGTTTAAAAAAAAATTAAACTGCAATTTTGAGGAGGGGGGGTGGTGTAGGATGAGGTGTGACGTCATCTTAGGGGGGGTGTCTGGCTTTTTGTGACGATGTGTGACGGAAGGGAGGGGGGAGTTTAAAATCGTCCAAAAAGCGTGACGTCATTTATGGATGACCCCTGACTAAAGAATTAATTTGTAAATGTTACTAAAATGTATAACTTAAACAACAATCGCATTTTTGCGGTTGTTTTATACCCCTAACTAAAGAATTAATTTGTATGGGTAAATGTTACTAAAATGTATAGCTCAAACAATATTGAAAGCCGTCATGTGATACAGTACCTGGCCCCAGTGTAGAATATCCCGTACTGACGTACCAGCGGGGGTGTGGGCCACATACACCGGGATTCGGCTCTGTGGGGAAAAGACAAATTTTAAATATGAACTCATTTGTAAAGTTATTCTGTGGGATCCTGTACCTTTATACATCGTTACTTCGTGTGCTTATGGGACGGCGTGGCCTAGCGGTGGAGTGCTAGACTGCTACCCCGATAGTTTCGAGTTCGAATCCGGGTTCAAGTTAGTGGAACGTCCCTGAGTCCACCCAACTCTGATGGATTTCTAACTCACGTTAAGGATAATAGATGCGGCTGAGCATAGTGCTGACCACGTTATCCATTTAAATGCCGAGGTCAAGAGACATATAAACTCTACTTCATCTGCCCAATGGATCGTTAGTTCTAAAGAGGAATCATAATTTTTTTTTACACACCCGTGCTTACTTTATTATAAGACCTCACTAAAGACTTAGTTTATAAAACATTGCTGAAAACATACGTTTACCACATTTTAAATGTTTAGGTTCCAGCCGTTGTTTACCTTATTTAAAGACTGAAAGTCGAAGCCTCCAAAAAGAAACAGAACGTTTTCACACAACAAGTTCCCCCATGTGTTGCACAGGTTGCCGGCTAGGAACTGCATAATGGTGGGCTCAATGTTGAGCTTTCCGTGGCCGAACAACGTCAAAAAAACCTGGCGAAGAAACAAAACTAATTTTTTTTTTTTTGTTTAAATAATTTTATTTTGTTATTCATATGAATAAAACATTCATTCATAAGAACACTGACAAATTTCCATTGAATAACATAATAGAAAACAGGAAGTTTGCAGTAAAATTGTTTACAGAGCTAGCTATACGAAAAAGTCCCATTCATGACAAGCAATCCAAGGTGGCGACCATTCAACATCCATATATAAATTTGTCCTAAAAAGTCTATTCTCCTCCTTGTGCTGCAACTGTTTTTAACTATTTTTTCCATTTTCCCATTTAGCTGTTTTAATGACACTGTCATCTCTTCCAAACACATGTGTCTTGTGAGGCTCTTTGAGGGCCCTCCTTACAACTGTAGCACATATCTGAGAGTAATTTATGTAATTTAGTCCAACTTGTCTCCAGAAGGCGGTCAGTTTTAAAGATTTTTAGAATGTTGTTTCTAAAAAATTTATACGAAGGCACTAAATTTTTTTTTTTTTTTTTTTTTTTATGAGGGCACTAAAATATTTTCATTTGCCAGCACTCCAAAAAGGCAACTATCATTAAATCAGGAAAAAAATTTCATATATCAATAAAGCAAAGATTAATAAGACCCTAGGTTTTGTTTTTAAATTACACTAAATAAAAGTTGTATAGTGCATTATTGAAGAATAGTAAAGAAAGGTTAGATAAAAATTATTATCTTATTACTATAAATAAGAAAGATTTTCATTTCTATTAGTTTAATGTTGAATTTTATAATATTTTAATTTTTTTTAACGTCGATATAGGTTGTATACCTTTTATATTTTGATATTGCAAAAGGGAAATAATTGCACGATTTAATATTTAATGTAAATTCACTTTTTTTTAAATTAATTTTTCCATGTGTCTAAACTTATTAAACAATAATGTAATATATTAATATATTTTTTATTGAATATTACAATTATATATATATATATATATATATATATATATATATATATATATATATATATATATATATATATATATATATATATATATATTTACTTGCATATATCTGTATATTTGATATTGTTCATTTCGCATCGCCAAGCACTAGTCTTCGCCTCACTTAAGGAGGCGGGCATCACTAAAAGCAATGAAGTACACAAAGTATTAGTTACCCCAATATCTTTAGCAAAAGGTGCAAGCAGCTTTATGGGTGATTCGGCGTGCCATACTTGCGCAACAGGCGCCATGGCTATAAAATGTTTTATATGGGAGGCCAGTTCCTGATTTTCTCCAAATTCCGCAAAACCAATAGTAGTTCCCTGTGAGTGGCCAATGTAGTAGACTTGATCTACTCCAGTCTTGGCCAGGATAAAGTAGATCATAGCAGGAAGGTCGTATTTGGCCATCTCATCCCAGCTGAGGAGACAAATATTACATGGGAAAGTGACCTATTGTATGGGCACTGGACCTTCTGTGGGCTATGGGATATGTAGGGTTATGTGAGCTAATATGCTGGACATGTCTGAGTGTGTGACCTATATGCTGGTGCAAGTGACCCAATACATGAGACATGTGTGGGTATAGGACCTAATGGAGCATGTATGTGCACCGGACATAGATCATGGGGCAAAAATAGCCATTGGATCTAATTCGTCAAATATTAAATGCAATACTTAGCCAGATGGAGATCAGACGTAGAGGATTAAATATCAGACTTAAAACATTAAAAACATACTCAAGGAATTGATAGTCACCGTGTTGCAAAAGGGAGGTTATAAAAATCGAAATAACTTGGTTTGCAAACAGTGTTTCTTCCGTTTTTTTTTTCAAACTTTTTTCTCCGGGGGGGGGGGGGGGGGCACTTGATATTTTCCGGGGGACGGACACTGGTAAAAGTATGTTTTCTATATAACTTCCATTTCGTTCAGGGGGGGGGGGGCACACCGCGAAGAGAAGCCTGGAAGAAACTCTGCTTGCAAAGCTCAAAATGTAGCAACGTGGACATGTCCCAAACCTACACAATTTTTATTTAATCCCGCATAAAGCAAGATATTTGAGAAATCTTTTTTTTTTAAGTTTCAACAATTCCATATCCGTTAAAATGTTTTTATTTGTTTTTTTTCTCCCACTTCCTAGTTTAATTAAATTAGTTAACCTCGTTTAAGGATTGCATAACTTTACAACAGGGTTTTCTTTCAGGGGTGGGGGGGGGGGGCGTTTGAAACTCTCACGAAAGAAGAGGCGACAGGCCCTGGTTTAATTATATATTTTCTATTTAATTTTTTTTCTATATGTGCTTCCCATTCCCCCCCCCCTTTCCACTGTTTTCCTAAGTACATTTAAGGGTGGTGCTATAAATAAACAAGAGCGTGACGTCAATAACGGACGACCCAAAACGGCAGGAAGCAATCGTTTTGATTTTCTAAAATAATGTTCTCTCTATTTACCTGAAATCCCAGAATTCGTCCTGTTTTGGGCTAAGATGCGTGTGATTGGTGGAGTAGATGTTACCCCTGCTGTTACCCAACCAGACGTCAGCGCCGGCGTCTGCCAGTATGAAAGCGAGGCTCTGATTGGTTGGATTGGTGATAAAGTTGGTGCAACTGGCGACCAAGCCGTGTTGGAGTACAACCACAGGGCGGATAGCTGCAGTAGAGTGGAGCAGAGTTTAGAATCGGAAGGGTGTTTAATTTTGAATTCTCAATTCATACTTCACAAAAGTTGTACTTCAAATTAAGAAATTCAGTAAACTAGACAACTCCCTATACAGGCCACCAGTTGTTAATGTTACGACTGACTTTCATTCAACTACAAAAGGCACTGTTCAATACTTTATTTGTTCTCCTCTTCATCATTCCACAAAAGCCCTAGCTAGACCCTAACGGCTAACAACCAAAAGCGCCCTCACAATCATTCACTCCAGCTTTTATACCCGCACTCGACCCTGGGATAACAATACCAAACACCCAGTAGCGTAGCGAGGGGGGGGGGGGGGCGGGGGGGGGGGACATATGTCCCCGGGCGCCGAGCTTGGGGGGGGGGCCAAAATGGGTTGGAAAAATAAATTGAAAGGTTGAGGGGGGCGCAAATTGAAAGTTTGAGGGGGGTGCAAATCAAAATCTCGAGGGGGGGTGCAAATCGGAAGTTTAAGGGGGGGGGGTGCAAATCGAAATCTCGAGGGGGGGGGTGCAAATCGAAAAGTTTGTCCCCGGGCGCCGGAAAGGGTCGCTACGCCTCTGCAAACACCCGGGGGGGGGGGCGGTAAAAAAAAAATTTTTAATACTCGTTAGAAAACGAGTTATTTCTTAAAACAGTTATTTCTTTACAGCTTTATTAAGATACATCGGCATATGCATTTCCACTAAAGAAATTGGTGGACAACTATGACAACGGCGGCCATCTTGAAAAATTAACCATTTGTAGGTTTTCCACCATTCATAAAATATTATATTTTAAACCCAATAAGTAATGAATTCATAACCTTCTTCCATATTTTTGGGTACTCAGCTAAAAATTTTAAGTGCATATCTTCAAAATAATTTATTATGAATTTTCAAAATTTGTGTCCGTTCAAAACACTTAATTTTGTGGAATTTTGGGGCATTAAAACTAGTGTTTTTAATGGACCCACAATTTGAAAATTCATAAAAAATTGAGTTTAAATTAGCGTACAAGTAAAATATGTCGGTAACACATACAATTATCCTTAGCAAATAAACAACATTAACCATTGTCCGTAGCAAATAAACAACACTAACCATTAGCTAAGCGGTTCTGCCGGCCGTGTGGGATACGCAGTATGTTGAGGATGTAACCGTCATCTGTGGTGACGTAATAGTTCTCACAGGGGTAGCCTTTACTGGTGATCAGCTCAGTCTGTGGACAGTGTGACGTCACATTTAATTATGTAATTGGGTGAGGTCACATAAAGACTGGTTGAATAGGTAGTGAGTTGGTACCTAGCGACTTCTACAGTGACTAGTGTGGGCGTAACATTAACATGTGGTGTTGGTTGGTCAGTTGAAATTATGTTTTATTGTGAACATAGTTTAGAACACGGACACAACTGAGTACTATAGATTTACCGATACAAATAACCCCTTTAGATAAATCGTATCACTAAATAGGTTCCAGGTCACCAACATCAATGAGTAGACATAATATTTGTTTTTCTAAATTCTTATATTACTTTTTGGGACACATGTGGATTTTTATTTTAGATACTTTTTAAAAAGTGCCCAATCGTTTTATATTTAACAAGAAATGAGATGCCAGTGAAATTTAGATGCAAAAAGAACTTTAATTCTAAATGCAAAAATCGCACAGATTCAACAGAAACATGAAAATTTAAAGAATTGAGATTCAAGTGAAATTGTATATAGATCTAGGCAGAAATGTCGTTCTGGTTTCTATTTCTGACAAAAATTCTAATTTCAGACGACAAATTAGTAGTCTAAATATAGTACCGCTTTCATGTAGACTTCCGGGTCAATAGGCTTTTGGGCTTCAATACGTGGGACGTCCTGGACCTCAATGCCCGGGTACGTGGCAATCACGTGCACGAGCAGCACTAAGTAGAAAGCCAGTAGGACCAGCCGGGTTTGACAAGACCTGCCCATTTCTAACGTGGGGAGTCTCTGTGGACGATAGATATGAACAAAGTTAAATGTAATAAGTGTTTCCTTTAGGCATTTTCCTTTTTCTCCGGGGAGGGGGAGGAGGCACTTAAAACTTCCGGGATGGGGGACGGACTTAAATTTCCAGGGAGAAGGGGGGGAGCTATATATATGTATATATATATATATATATATATATATATATATATATATATATATATATATATATATATATATATATATATATATATATATATATATTTATAATTATTTTTAGGGGGGGTGACGTGCTTTGGGGGCGGGGGGGGGGGGGGGGACGACAACCCCCAAAGAGATACCTGAAAGAAACTCTGAATGTAATGCAGATCAAAGTCAGCGATTCCGCTTGTTATGTGTACCTATGGGCTATGCTCAGTGACTCGCACAGGCTCAAGCTATGCTCATTGACTCACACAGGGTTAAGAACCGTGCATCTCTCTCGTCCATGTCAACAGCCACTAGGCACGTAGATTTCCCAGGGGCGTAGCGAGGGGGGGGGGGGTGCAAATCGAAAATTTGTCCCCGGGAAGGGTCGCTACGCCTCTGGGGGGTGACACCACTGAGATTTCCGACAGGGTTTTTGTACGTGAGGGTAAGCTCATGGGGGTTGCCAAACACTATTTTCCCTAACCACGACTACAAAATAGATTTCACCAGTGAGTGTCCTGTAAATATAGATTTAAACTACTATTCTTGCATTCAATCGCAAAATAGCGATTGTGTTCAGTGCTTCTTTGTAGCGTGAAAAAGAAGAAAATATATAATATATATAGAAAATATAATCTTTAATTAGTATTCCACCCCCCCCCCCCCACAAGGAAGAATCAAGAGGCCGTTCTTTCTTCCTCTTGGTTTAAGTGTTTAATGAAACCCGGGTGTGTGCCTAATAATTATATCTAATTTATTTTAACAAAGTTGAGTAAATTAACAGCTATGAAAATATTATAAACTAGCCGTCCCGGCCAGGCCCTGCTCTGGCTTCTGTGAAAAACCTTACTGTTAAAGACCATTACCTGTGTGTTTAGTAATCATCATAAACCCGGCATTGCCCACCCAAACCACAACCAACCAAAACAACAAAACGCAAACATAACGCTAACACAATTACAAATACAAACGAAAACAAAAACCTAACAACAAACCCAACCACAACCACAAACACCAATACGAACACAAAGAAAAAACAAACGAAAAAGCAAACGAAAACAAACCAAATCCAAACGCAAAACCAACCACAAACACAAATACAAACACAAACCCAAAGAAAAAAACACAAACGAAAACGAAAAAAGAAAGAACAAAAACGAACCAAATCAAAACGCAACCACTAACGCAAACCCAACCTAAACACAAAGAAAACACTAACGCGAACATAAACGCAAAGTGCTCACAGTCTAGCCCGGGGCAGAATCGCCTGTTTCAGCTTAATAAACGACTACAGTACCCCAACTTATTCATAGTCTTTTGCACTCACTTAAACGAACGTAGGTGCCAAACCAAACCAAATGAACAATTATAATACTCCAAGCTTATTCGTAAAATACCTACAACATTTGCACTTGATCAATCCCCGCTAATTATGTAATTATTTTTTTCCCAACACCAAAACAAAGTAATTAAAAGTAAATTCTTTTCCACTAATGCAATGTTTTATAAAGGGAAGTAATTGTGTTTTCCTAATTTATCAAAGGGAAGTAAGTGCTAAAGGACTAAATATAAATAATTTTCAGACATAATTAGAATTTTTGTTATTTTTTTAAATTGTGTTTAATGAACATGCCGACAATTATTACTATCAGTTTGAAAAATGAAAATTATTTCCCAACACTTTCAATAGTAATTTTTTAACTCATAAATTTAGACTATGAGCACGATAATAGTCTAACACTTAAATCCATGGAAGTATGTCAACGACAAACAAATTTATTTTTACATACAGAATTGAGCTTTATATATTAGATACTTACTGTGTATTAAAGTTCATAAAGCGCTTGCCAGTAATACGTAGCCTTTAGGGAAATATATTCTAAATAAGTATGTTAAAACCATACACAATCACGTTAATATTTGTCTTGTTTGTTTTCTGCATACAAACATGCTCTATTACGAACCCCTTGTATCCTTTTCCTTTTACCAATCACAATCTATGTTAAAATTAAAAACACCGAATGTATATTTATGGCATCACAATCACACGTGTACATGTCTATTTTTACATCTGATAGGTATTTTTGTGTCAGACCTATATATGGAGGCTAAGGAACGCTCCAAGAGATATCACACAATTATCACAAAGCGCTTAATCTATTGGTGAATTCCATCAGCTGGCATCATACAGGGCTATAGTCTACATCTATTTTAAAAGTTTACCTGGGAAAACTCACAAACTTTGAACAGGAAACAATTGTTACACAAGAGATTACTTATCCTCAAACGAAGGTTCTGTAATATGTATATGTATATATATATATATATATATATATATATATATATATATATATATATATATATATATATATATATATATATATATATATATATATATATATATAATATATATATATAGTTGTAGGCCCTACATCTATAATTGTATATATATACACATGTATATAAAAGCTATATATACATGTATTTACACACACACACACAAACACATATATATATAATTATATATATATATATATATATATATATATATATATATATATATATATATATATATATAATTTAGGTCTATTTATTTTTTTAGGCCTATTTATTTATTTATATTGCTTAATTTTTTAAAAATAAATTATATGTATATATATATTTGGCAATAAAGCAATATTTGGCAATATTAAGAGTGTTAGTTTATCAAGAACACGGGCTGTTAATTACTTTATCTTTACAATCACCGTGTCTGAGATGACACACAACCAGTGCTTCTTCCAGACTTTTTTTTTCTGGGAGGGGGTGGGGGCGCTTGAAATTTTCGGGGAGGGGGGGCGGACTAAAATTTCCGGGGAGGAGGGGCCGACAGAGTTTCTTTCAGGCATTTTTTCGAAGAAAGTCTCCCCCCCCCCCCCCCCGAAATGGAATTTATATTGAAAATATATACTTTTATCAAATTCCGCCCCCCGGAAAATGTTGTCCCCCCCCCCCCCAATTTATAAAGTGCCCTCCCCTCCCCCCCCATCGGAGAAAAAGTCTGGAAGAAACACTGAGGGCGGACACTGTTAAAAGTATATATTTTCTATATAAATTCCATTTCATTCAAGGAGGGGGTGGGCATCTGGAAGAAACTCTGCATACGACTGACATATAAGTGGCACAACAGACCAGAGTTTCTTCCAGGCATCTCATCGAAAAAATTTTACCGCCCCCCCCCCCCCCCCGAACGAAATGAAATTTATATAATTTATATAGAAAATATATACTTTTAACAGTGTCCGCCCCCCCGAAGAAAGTTTACCGCCCCCCCCCGAAGATTTCAAGTGCCCCCCCCCCCCCCCCCCCCCGGAGAAAAAAGTCTGGAAGAAACACTGCAACAGACACTGACTGTTGTTACATGATCTAAGCTAACTTGTGTCATTTGATAATATTTGATTTCTCTTTTACCTTTTTTGTATGTTTATCTCTTTGTGGGGTTAAAGTTACACACATGTAACCTAATGTTAATCATACAAACCTTTGACCTCGCTTACAGCTTCATTTAATTTGTACACGTTTTTACGCTACACCTCTTGATATTTTCTGGGTCAACTGACGTCATAAAAAACACCGGCTATATAGGTCATCATGTGACTACAAGCATTTAATGAATCTAAGATTTTAAAATTGGAATTAATAGAACTACTGTTTTCTCTGGTGTACTATAAAAATGTGACCCTTTTTTTATTAATTGAAAATATCGGTTTCATTTATGGGCACATTTATACATACTAATTATTTGTGTGGTATAGAGGTAGAGCGCACGATTGTTTAACGAAAAGCCTCGAGTTCGGCTCCAGGTCTCGAGATGATAAGACGCTCATGAGTCCAGCAAACTAAGGAGTCTTGACTCTGTTAACAGAACGGCTGACCACAGACAATCTCTGGGATCAAAGAAAGAGTTGTCCTGTACTTATAATTTACTTACTGTCACTATATTTTTTCAGCCACACAAATAGTAAAGTAAACGTATCACCTAATGAAAACAGAATATTAAAAAAAAAATTTACCTTGAATCACAGACAATCACTTATAACCACAATAAACTCTAGTAAAAAAAAACAATCGATAAATTACAAGTATCACTGTTTAAACTGTGCTGAAAAAGTGCATGTTATCAGTTAAAAACACAAGCAATACGACCTTCAAGGAAATACCGTAATCTACGCGAGGTACTGAGATTACAGCTGAAATACAAAGTAGATTCTCATGTAAAACTTGCTGGAGATGTATAACTACCACTAGAGCAGGAAGGTTCCTCTCATACTGACTCAGACTCTTGTACAGCGTAACAATTTAGCTTGATTGGTTTGGTTAGATCATCAAGCTAAATCTGGAGATATTGTCACAACACTTTATACATCAACTTCTTAAAGCTGGTGAACTCAACATCCAATATTTAATTTTTTCTCTAGTAATGGTATTTTAATGTATAATTATACCCACACATCCAAACAGTGTTTCTTTTAGGCATTAATCTGAGGGTGAGGGCAGTGCCTCAGGAGTTCGTCCACCCCCACCAGCATCGGGCGAAATAGAAAATACTGTTCGTGAGTATAGAAAATATATATCGTTTGTCCCCCTTCCCCCACATACACCCCGGGAAAAAAAAAAGTCTTAAAGAACCCCTGCCTCTAGGTCAACTACACAACCACCTCTGCGGTATGATCTTCACTCACCCCCGCCCTCCACCAATTATCTTTAACCACTGCGATATCTACAACCTTTACATAAGCATCTGGTTTGTCCTGTTGATCTACACCCCTGTCAATGTGATGTATACGCTTCCCCCACCCTCTATATTCACCCCCATAATCTACACCCCTCTGATCTACACCCCTGGAATCTACATCCCTATAAAATACACCCCATAATCTACACCCGTGATCTACATCCACTCTCTTAATCTACACCCCTGTAAAATATACACACATGATCAACACCCCTGTGATCTACACTCTCGTAATCTACACCCAATTGATCTACATCCCTGTAATCTACACCCAATTGATCTACACCCCTGTAATCTACACCCAATTGATCTACACCCCTGTAATCTACACCCCTGTAATCTACACCCAATTGATCTACACCCCTGTAATCTACACCCAACTGATCTACATCCCTGTAATATACACTCCCGTAATCTACATCCCCGTAATCAACACCCCTGTGTCTACACCCCTATGATCTACACCCCCGTAATCTACACCTCTGTAATCAACATCTGTCTGCACCCTTGTGTCTACACCCCTGTAATCTACACCCCTATGATCTACACCGCTGTAATCAACATCTGTCTACACCCCTGTGTCTACACCCCTGTCTCTACACCCCTATGATGTACACCTCTGTAATCAACACCCAATTGATCTACACCGCTGTAATCAACAGCCTGTGTCTACGCCCCTGTCTCTACACCCCTATGATGTACACCTCTGTAATCTACACCCCTATGATGTACACCTCTGTAATCAACACCCAATTGATCTACACCGCTGTAATCAACAGCCTGTGTCTACACCCCCGTAATCTATACCCCTATGATCTACACCTCTGAGTGTAATCTACCCGTCATACTTGCAACACACTCCACAACTTACCCAGCTCTCAACCCAACCTGTGTCTCAAGTATTCGCTCAGTCACGTGACCTCAAGGCCGCACATAACCGTTAGATAAAGACAACACAGAACGTGTTACATTTATGGATACAAAGTTCAAGATTTATACGCAGAAAAACTAACAAGTTCATCAAAAATATGAACCGGCTCTTCAGGGAATACCGGTGGGTAAATGCCTACCCCATCTGTCGTGGTAGGGTTCGGGTTATGCTAGTGTGACGATTCGAGTTAGCCGAGATCTACAAGTATAGGCCGTAACGCTGGGTCGGCTGCCATTGAAGTCAAGCAAAGCGTAAACCTGCGCGACCTGATAAGAAGGGGGGAGGGGGGTAGAGTCGAATCGACCGATAACGACACCCTATTTCTAGCTATTGATCAGGGTTTAGCTTGGCGAATTTTCAATGAGACAAATTTAGCACATCCGTATAAGGCAATTTTATCCTTAAACGACACCCCCCCCCCCCTCACTACTGTGAAGGTAACAGTTTGCTCCAGGAGTGGGTGCAATGTTTGTACTTCTCAAGTTCTAATGTTTTCGCCTGAATGAAAGTTAGTCCTCAAAAGTCTTATAATGTATAGGAAAAAACGTTTTAGATTTTAAAGGGAAAAAAATAACAACAGTTAAGTTAAAATGTCTCCAACGACATTAATTGATATAACGTTACAAGTTAGTATGCCTTTTGGCTTACAAATGTGTAGGGGCCTATATGCTCTAATGCTGGGAAAGTAGACGCATGTACACTCGCTGAATAGGCCAAATGTAAATATTTAAGTACTCACCAAATAAAACAAGTGTAGGTAAAGCATAAGAAATTTCTACTTGGTAATCCATTAACGATTTCATATCCTATAGTGCGGGGGGAGGGGGGAGGAGAGGAGTTTGGACTGTCAGGTATGATAAAGCCATTAGACCCATTAGTAAATGATTTGCTTATTTTTTAAATAAATAGTTACTTCCCTTGATTTCAACTGATTGAAAAAACAAATGGACTAAAAACTTTTTCACATAAATATATTCAACTTCTGTGGTAAAAAAAAACACATTCTAATACCTGGAAATTAATGTTGAAAAATTCAACATCCTTTCTATCAAATGTCACAGCAACTTCAGCAGACTGACACATTGTTGTTAAAGTTAGCTAAGCTTTTCTTCATTTAACATGATAAAGGTATCTCTAAGCACACAAAAATAAATTCAAATGTTTTTATACAAAATAAAACTCGTTAAGAAAATTTATTTTTAAATTAGTATATATATATATAATTTAATACAGTACAATTAGTTTTAACAATACTCCAAAATTTTAAAGATAGTATTCTTTTTGTAATTTCATTGACAAGAATTAAAAAAAAAAATTATGCACCATTCATAAAAAGATTGCATACCAACACAAATATGTACACACTTATACATAAATACTATTAAAATGAAACCAACATTTGCTTTAAGTTAACAATAGTTTATGACAATAACTAGAGGATAACACTTAATTAACCTGAGTAATGATAATACTAGAGACAAATCTAACTACTTAAAACATTTTCAGGACTGACTTAATGGTAGGACTGAAGGCAAAGTGTAAACAAGAGTTCAAGGTATAAAAATTACTAGTAGACTCAGATGTATAAAAGGTACTGAAAAAACATTAATAGGTAGTATGTTAGAAATACTTTCTCAAAATATTTTATTTTTAAAAATGTAAAAATGTATACATGTTAAATACAAATTATTCCAAAATTGACTTTTAAAAACATTAATGCTATATTGTTCTTTGGATTTATCTGTTCTGAAAAAAATTTAGCCATAGAAAAAATGGGTTCCATGACAAAGTTCTCAAAGTTTCTCACTGACAAATTATCTCAGGACAAAATACATCAGGACAAATGATCTCAAGACAAAATATATCAGTACAAATTATCATTTGTCCTGAGATGATTTGTCCTGTCACCAACAAATGTTGTCTTGGCTTCATTAAAATTAAATTGATAACACATTTGAGTTTTTTTTAATTTATAAATATATATTGATATTTGTAGCTATAAGATCTATTTCAATAAAGAGAACTAATCACCATTTATTAGAATAAAGATGATAAATAATACTATAAACTTTGAAATTTACAATTTTAAAATATATTGAAATATTTCATATAGTACAATCTCATTTCTTTAATACATCAGAATATTTCAAAATCTTAAAATGAATAAATTTTTTAAGAGCAGTGTTGAATAAATATTTAGCATACACAGCTATAATACAAGAAATTTCCTGAGTCTTATCATCTTTCTTGCTGTAGATATCTATACGTACTTAAGCATACCTAAGTGTCTTCTGCAGAAATCTATACACACTTAAGGTTAATAATATAGACTATTATTTTGGCTAGTAAGTTAAAAATATTTTTGATTAAGCTAAACTATTTTAAAAGATTCTGTAACCCCTTGATTAAGTTTTGCAAACCAAAGAGAAAATTATGGTCTGTATCCTTCGTAGGAAAAACATGGGCAAAGTCAATGAGATGGACTTCAGCAATTTTCTTCTCTGTGGAGTTTATGATTGTTTCTGTAATCAAATCGTCATCAGATAGCTTGGATCTTTTAGTTTCAACATCACAGAGTATACCATCACTGTTGATTCTTTTCAGCTGGTTTGAGGATGACGTCTTACAAGGCTCGTCAACAACAATTGTATTATCATTGTTATCATTGATATTCTTTGTGGTATTAGACTGGGTGGATCTTGAGGGTTTAGCTTTAATAAATTTGGCACCTTCATAAACCATGAAGATGGAACTGGCAACAAATGTGAATTTCGTTTGTTTTAAGAACCAGGACTCCAGTTTGATTAGCTTGGATAGGATGGGCTGTATGGCATCTTTTCTTGGCTCACTCTTATCCATCCTGAAGAACTTTCCTAGACCTAATAGTTAAAATAAAGGTATTTATAACTTTATTTATTTTATATAATAAAAAGAAACTACAAATGTCTTGCATTTTTTAATTGAAGTATGTAAGAAACAAAAATTTATTTTAAAATGTTATGGTGAAATGTGCATAAAAAATGGATATTGTTGAAACAGTAAATGAAGCACACACAAAAAAAAACTGCGATCAGGGTTAAATGTATGTTTATCTTGTATACACATGTGGTGAATTTTGTAAGCAATTTTAGATTTTGTTCAAATGTTTTAGATACAATGCAAAAATATCTTATTTTAAACTAATTTAATTTGATAATAAATTAGTCATAAAAATATTATTAAAAGAAGTAAATAAATGTAAATAAAAATTTTACGTGATCAATACATATTTGGATTTATCTGTTCTAAACATTAAAATGTTTTTATTTTCAATGCATTTAAAAACTTAAAAAGGTTTTTTTTTATATTTATTTTGTCTGATATCAGATTCTGTGAAAGCATTACCTATTCCATTCTCCTTATCAATTGTTGAATTTACACTGTAAAAAAAAAAATCAAAAAATGTATATATCAAATTAATAATGGGAAATACCTTCAGTTACCATAGTTTCCTCATTAAGTTTGTTATTAAACTGCTTATCATACTTCTCATTTGATTTTGTTTTGGCATCATACATCTGAAAATAAAGAAAATGTGTAAATCTTGCTAATCCATAAAATCTTATTAATTATTTTAACTTTATAAATTTTGCATTAACCCTCAAATGTTTCTCAAGAAATTTCCAAAATAAACTTTTATAACACACAAAAAAAACCCAAGAAAATAAACTCAGCTAGACTTAATTCAAAGGATTCTTATATATCGTGTAATTTAGCCATCAATAAAGGAATTTAATAATAGGAATTTATTGTAAATTAATTAGCAGGTATTAGAACATGTTTTATTTCAAGATCATACCTTAACCAAATTCACACTTTCAACAAAACAAACAAACAAACTTAATTAGTACCCAAAACTGACAAAGCACTCATTTTAAAATAATAACTTTAAAAAGTGCAAGTTTCATCTTAATTTTTATAGCTTTAGAACATTTTAATATAAATAAAATTATGGGATTTTTGTTCATTCATGTATTTTTTATTAGTTTTAACACAAAATATCTTTACCATCATCCCTGTGATTTGATAGCCAATATTTTTTAATGGTGGATACTTTGCGATTTCCTGGGCAATTTTTTCAGGGGTTGCTTCTTGGTCATAGGTCACTTTTCCCATCTTAAGATCTATCACACAAGGGTGTTTGAAACCTGATGTCAAGTTGGCCAGCTTCAAAAACTTCACTAAGTAAAAAATTTAACATTAGTTGTGTATAGACTTTTGGCTGTACTGTGTAGTAAAATTTTATAGTTAACAAATGTGTTTATATGTCTCAGAAATTATAATACACAGTGGATGATTAAAAATGGAAGCTGGCTAGACTCAAGTAAAAGCTATTTAATTTTTTTATCATGAATGATAATAAACTTCATTCTGTCAAAATGTTTAGCTTTTTTAAAGTGATCCTTCAAATTGATTTTCAAGTAAGTTACCTGGGTCTCATTATTGGCTGAGTAGAGGTGGATGAAAATATTTAATGAGAGGCATCGTTATCAATATATAAAATTTTCAGCTTGAGGCCACACCAAGTTTAAACCACCACAATTTGTATAGTCATTACCTCCATTCTCCTCATGAACTCCATCAAATGAAGGGAGAAACTTCTGAAGCTCCAACAAATCTGGGTCTGTACAGTCTGGATCAAAAACTTTCTGATAAAAGTTTAGTTCTCTTAAGCCCCGAGGTGGATTTTGTAAGGCTTTCAACACAAATCCATTACCTAGATCAACCATTCCTGAAATTAGAATTAAGATTTTTGTTAGTCCTAACTGGTTTAATTATAAATGTTTTTAAATATTATCCTCTTTACATTACTGATAGTTTTGCGGTAGTTCAAATCAGAAGGTGGAATGGGGAGGGGTATTATTTATATACAATTTATATACAATTTGTACAATTTGCAACTCATTTAAATTATGAGTTACCTATTTGTTTTTGTTTTGGATAAAAAAAAATTCATTTAAGAAGTTACTTCCCCTAGGGTTGAAGGTCCTTAGGCAGCTGCTCTATTTGTTTATGCCACCATTAAGATATGTCTAATTAGTTCTGTGTTTATTGTTTCATTTCTTACTCTCACTGCCAGACTTTAGAGGCCATTCATTGCCAAAGTCAGTTGTACTTATCTACTTTAATAAGCCTCCTTAGTAACAGCTATCCTTATCTACTAAAATCTCATTTTGTCGAGGATAAACTGTCTCTGTCACCTGGTTTCTGCTGCTTGTGGTCTCCGTGTGCAAATAAATGCCCACCAACTTGAGTTTCTAGCCTTTTCCAAGTTGAAACATCAACAGAGTTAGCTTCTGGTTTTCTATCATCTTCACTACTGCCAGTTTTTTTATCGGAGGAACAGCTAGACTTGCTGTTACCCTTCTCATACTGGCTGCCATCTTCAACTGACATTTCTTACAAGATTCCTATGAATAAAAATACACATTTTAAAATTATTTTATTCAGACCTGTATATTTAAGTAATAAGTATAACGAAGTGTCTACTCGGAATAAGATTTTTCGGCGAAAGATAGTTCTGCGCATGCGCAGTGACCTATGGCTAGGGTTAGGGCTAGAATGAGGGTTAGGGGTAGGATTAGGGATAGGGTTAGGGATAGGATTAGGGATAGGATTAGGGCTAGGGTTAGGGTTAGGGTTAGGGATAGGATTAGGGATAGGGTTAAGGATAGGATTAGGGTTGGTATTAGGGTTCTGCGGTTGTAAACACACGCATGCGCAGTACCATCGAAAACATCGCCGCTAAGTCGTAGTTTCTCTCCATTGCGCATGCGTATCGCATGCGTATCTTATTCCGACTAGAATCGGCCTAAGTATAAAGGGGTTATGAGTTTTACGGACCAGTGTCCAAAACAATGGTGACAATAATTTGGTAATTTTAAATTTATCGTTTTAGGACATTTTAGGTGCGTAAACTTGGCCGAGGCTAGTAATGATTAATTAATAATTAGTAATGTGAAAAAAGTTGTTGCCTCACTGTTAAGACTTTAATTGAAGTATATTGTAATATATTTTTGTCAAATATTATAGATACCTGAATATTGAATAATAAACCAAAATCAATGGCTAAATATTAGTAGGCCTAAATAAATCAATATATAATAATAAACTATCTATAGGCCTATAATATTTATATAATGCACATTTGTTTTGAAGAGGTGTAGGTCATGCGTTAGCAGTAGGAAATATTGCTGGGGAGTAACCATTTGTTGTATGTACGTTAACAAATTCAGAAAACTAGATAGATTCAGATCTAGGGCCTAGGCCTAAATCTAACCTAAGGTTGCCCGTCGTACGAACGTTTTAACTGTAAGATCGAAGTTACCAATACGTGTAATTTTAATTGCTTTAAGCTAAGTTCTTAGAGGTGTAAACTCTTCCATTGATATTTCTTTATTGCTGAATCAGTGTATGTTTACTGGATAGAGGGCAGAGGGCTAGTCTTTGAAAAGTAGGTCACGTTGTTTATTTTTACTATATTAGGCCTAAATTTAACTAAATCTAGATAATAACAAATCTAGATAATCTAGATTAGATCTAGAATCAGATTATCTAGATTTGTTATTATGTTATGTATGTAGCTCTATGTCTAGAGTATGAGTATCACAGTTTCGCGGCGCTCTAGCATCAAAGCCATGATAGGCCCACTAAAGAAATATTAGTTTTTAAGCCTACGTATTATCCTGGTACTACTACTAAGATCTACTTAAGTACACCAATTATAATTTCGTTTTATCTATCTTTCTTACTGACCCGTCTCGTAAAAGTTTGCACAGACGTTTCGTTGAGGAATTTTTTAAAGTAATGTATAGTATAATCTAGTTCTAATGTTTATTGGGTTTATGTGTATGGGGGAGGGTGTCGCAAAGATAATCGACAGATAAATGTTACAGTTAATAAATCCAGATCTAGTAGTAGGCCTAGATTTATCATGTTTTTCCTTTCCTAAAAGCATAGGGAGAAGATATGATGAGTGTTTCTTTCAGTCTTTACACTTCGGGGAGGGTGGGATGCTCTTGAACGTTTCGGGGGGGGGGGGGGGGGGGGGGGCGGACAAGAAAAAGTATTTTTTCTTTAAGACTTTTTCTTAGGTGGGCACTTGAAATTTTCGGGAGGGCAGACTAAAATTTCCGGTCTGTGTGTGTGTGGGGGGGGGGGGGGGGGCACTGTTAAAAGTATATATTTTCTATACAAATCCAATTTCGTTAGGGAGGGTAGACTTTACGAAGAGATGCATTGAAGAAACTCTGGTAGAGGGGTGAAAATATGACGCACTAGACAGGAGCTGGGACGTCGAGATTGACGTAGGGGAGAGCGGAAACTCAACCAGGAATATAAGGCGTCATTGATAGATCATATGTATAGAATATAATGTGATGTTAATACTAATAGCCCGTCTGTTAAAGTGTTTTAACAAGAGCTGTTATATTACACACCAGGATCGTGCTATGACAAAGCTGCGATCTCCCCCCGCAGATGCGTGACGTGATATGGATGTCGCCGAACACTTTGGTATAAGTGTTCGCTCACATACGTATGACTGAACAACTAAGCTACACGGAAACATATTGTACCACAACAACATCGCTGCAAGCTACAAAAAAAAAAAAGTAATCAGATCTAGATCTCTAGATCTAGATTTATCAATCGTCGCATTGTGTATCAACGGGCAGTACTCGTGGGCCTGCGCTGGCTGTCGTTCGCAAACAATAGCAGTAGCGTTAGTCACGTGACCAACATCTAGTTCACACACACACGTATAGCCTACACGCAAGGTCAGATATAAGCAATTTTGCCTGGTGGACTGGCCACTTATTACGTCGACACGGCTACCAACAAAACCGCAACATCTCTGCACGAAGATGCTGGTCGTGACTGTAGTCCTTGGCCTTGTTCTCCTTCTTATTTTTCTGGCTTACTTCAGACCGCACAAAAGAGTTCGGTACTTGATTGACCAAATCCCAGGACCCAAGCCAGTGCCGTTGCTCGGCAACGCGCACCAGTTATGCGTCGGACATGGTGAGTAGGTTTAAAATATTTTATTTTTAAATCAATTTTTAACTAGGAATTTTAATAAAAAAAAACAACGACGTTACCCTATTTATGACGACTTTTACCCTCTCCCCACCATCACGCATAGTCAGAGGCGTAGCGAGGGGGGGCGGGGGGACGACATATGTCCCCGGGCGCCGACCTTAGGGGGGGCGCCAAATTGAAAGTTTGAGGGGGGGTGCAAATGAAAAGTTCGAGGGGGGGTGCAAATCGAAAGTTTGAGGGGGGGGGGGGGGGTGCAAATGTAAAATTCGAGGGGGGGGGTGCAAATCGAAAGTTTTGTCCCCGGGCGCCGGGATGGGTCGCTACGCCTCTGCGCATAGTAAAAAAATACCACCCCCCCCCCTCGATACTATTCCCGAAAAAAATAACTCCCGACAGTAAGGCCACGAAATAATGGCCCTTGACAAAAGACTCTAAACAATATTTATGTTATCTTTTCATATAAATGAAGATATGTGTATGTGTGTACGCGTTTGTCCTTTACGCATTACTACACCAGACTACACCTTTCATCTGATGAAACTATAGGAAGCTGTTGAGAATACTCCTGGAAAGGTTTCTGCGAAAAAGAAGTTTTTTTTTTTTAATTTCGCAAGAGCGGCGCCCCGTAAGGGTGTGATTTTTCTCTATACACGGTATATAAAAAAATATAAGTCGTAAGCGGTTAAACACCGTTCATCCGAGTGTCATGAAACTTTGGAGAGTTGAAGGTGTCTGCAAAAAAAAATATTACAATTTCTTATGGGTGGCGCTAGGGAGGGTGCGATTTTTTTCAATACACGGTTTGGCGCCCAGAGATTCAGAGCGGCTATCTTAGCAATAGGTATCTGTTAATTGGGCATCCCGCATAGTGTGTAAGGGGGGGGGGGGGCACTTGAAATTTTCGGGGGTGGGGTGGACTATTAGTTCTGGGAGGGTGACAGACGCTGGTAAAAGTATATATTCTACATAAATTCTATTTCGTTCGTGGGGGTGTTAGACTTTCTTCTGGAGGCTCCCCCCCCCCCCCCCCAATAGGTGCATGGAAGAAACTCTGGATGCGACTTTTGTCAAGTGTGAGCTTAAGTGCAAGGTTTAGGGGTATGACTATATATATAATCAATGTGCAGTAACTACGTGTAGATCAAGGTTACCAGACACAGTATTGTGGTAATGTCTACATTACATTAGGGTCTATACACAAAATAGAATGGCGTCATTGATTGATGAATTAAAAAAAATAGAATTTAGAATGAAATGCCGAAAATGATACACAGTAATAATGACCCTATTGATAATAGTGCAATAAAAGCTGAAGTGCCTAAATAGCTGAGAAGATAGTATAATTGATACCATGCGGGCAGTACGGGTTTGAGACACACCAAGTCAATCTTAAATTATTTTTTTTTGGTCTTCTCAGCATATGAAGGGATAGTGTGTTCAGCCGAAATAGGTGTTTTTAAAAGACAAAAACAACACAACTACCCTTGAACCGCCGGGTTTTTAACGAAATCATTTAAGTCTCTTGATTTTAAGTCTCTTAATCAGCGTGTGCATTTAATATGGCATTGTGCTGACTAATGCTGTATATAATTTGGTTTTAATTTTTCTAATAGGTATTGGTAGTCTGTTATTTTAAACAAGTATAAACATAGATAGTACACACAACAAAACCCTTTCTTTTTCATTATCTTAGCAATTGTTTCATTTCAATGCTCCTGATCAATAAATTGTTTCTTTTCCTAAGTTTCCGATAAAGACTTTTTCGAAAAGCTGAATTACAATTCATTTCATTACTCACTTTCCGTAGACATATAGCCTACATTTTTTTTTCAGTCATCTCTACCGTTTCTTCCCCTTTCACCTCCGAACGAAATTGAAAAAAGTAATTCATAAAAAATATAGAAAAATCAGTATCCGCTACCCCCCCCCCCCCCCACACACACACACACACACACTCAAACATCCCCCACACCCTCCCCCGGACTGTTTTAAATGCCGCTCTCCAGAGATAAATATCTGAAAGAAAAACCGGATAGCCTATTTGTAAAGAGAAGAGAGCTAAAAGTCACCAGAATTGCCCTACAAACGTCTGCCGCAAAGTGTGACAGTCATACCCACCACTACCCACCCCGCTTCCCCATTGAAGTGCTCCATATTGTTGTGTAACGGTCTTCTAAAACATTAATCGGTATCAACATGTAAGAGTTCATTATGTTGGGTTCACGTTGAAGACGAATGAAAGTGTCAATGACATCTCTTTGGAATTTTTAATCATCACACTGTACATACTGTTGTTTCACCAACTAGCACGTTGAATAACTCTTATCAGGGGAGAAAACCCTTTCAAACGGCTTTACAAAATAGCAAATTTCATAATTCAAATGAGGATAGAAAACTATTTCCGACCGGTTCACAATTTAGCAAATCGGATATCTTATCGTGGTAAAAAAAAACATTTCACGCTTTCAAAAACTAGCACTTTGGATGCCGTGTGGGATTCGATAGGTATTTCACACTAGTTGACAAACTAGCACGTCACTCTATCAGGGGAGCAAATCCTTTCAAACGGGTTTACAAAGTAGCTCGTTTCATAACTCAAATGAGGAAAGAAAACTATTTCCGACCGGTTCACAATTTAGCAAATCGGATATCTTATCGTGGGAAAAAAAACAACCTTTAACGCGTTTCAAAAACTAGCACTTTGGATAACTCGTTATGCCGTATGGTATTCGATAGATATTTCTGACTAGTTGATAAACTAGCACGTCGGATAACTCTTATCAGGGGAGAAAACTCTTTTCGTCAGATTCACAAAATAGCACTTTGGACAGCTGTTAAAATCACGGGAAAAAAGCAAGGGCAGACGTTCTACACGTCACAAGCAGACAAGATATCGACGCAACTTTGTATCGTTTATCTCGTATGTGACCCAGAATCAAGAGACTCTTTGTGACCCTCTTACTTTGACCCAATCCATAAAAAAACATACCTAAAACATAATTATTTTCGCCTTTATGTTAGACAAAAAAAATCTCTGCTTAGTATCAGAGGATTAGCGACCCAATCCGACGCCCGAGCAAACTATGAATCTTGTCCAGGGGCGTAGCGAGGGGGGGGGGGGGGGCGGCGTGTAAAAAATTAAAAATTGTAAAAACCTAATGGAATTCTCATGATAATTTTACAAATATGAGATGTTTTTAAATTGTAAAAATCTGAAATTCTCATGAAATTTGTAAAAATTTCGCGAACCGTGAAAATCCAACCGCTATTTTCGTTTTTGTTCCGTCGATCGTCAAGTTGTAGACTTAGATCTAGATTTAGATCTCAATGATGGGCGACCTGAAGCGATACGTATATTTAAAAAAATGTTTTCTTGATCTAAATGAAAGTTTTAAAAATAATGTATCAAGAAATATGCAAATCCCTAACATTTTCACCAGCGTGATCGTCACCCCCGCTTTCTTGTTTAAAATAAATCTTGACGCGAGGAGGGTTCACTGTGAGTTCATTTATATCAGCAGCCCTACAGCATACTGCGGGAGCCGGACGTTTTCCCGAAAGACACTTGCCCGAATGCCGTTTGCCCGAAGGCCGATTTCCCGAATGGACACTTGCCCGAATGCGACAAATGCCCGAATGGACACTTGCCCGAATGCGACAAACGCCCGAATGGACACTTGCCCGAATGCGACAAATGCCCGAATGGACACTTGCCCGAATGCGACAAACGCCCGAATGGACACTTGCCCGAATGGGACAAATGCCCGAATGCCATTTGCCCGAAGGTCGTTTGCCCGAAAAATGTTAATATTAGATAATAAATAATATTTCCAAATAGACATTCTTTAATCAATTTAAGTTTGAAATTTTGATTAAAAACACAATTCTAAGCATAAAACAAAAGTTTCTATATTTTTAAATTTAGCTTTTATTTTTTTTTCAAAACCGAGAAAGTGCAGTAAGAAAAACTTTAATCTTTAATAAATGTAAGGTGATGTATTGCGGTGGTTATATAGCTTTTATTACACGGCGTAGGCGACGCGGCGTCTCGCAACATTGAACAGAGGCGCGTTTGTTTGTTTATTTTGTTATGCTGAACTTGTGTGGTGATCATTTAACAAAAGAATGAGGCGAGGTCTAGGTGGCAAATTTAAAAACTAAACGTAGTCAAATACGTTTGATTTCCATTTAATGCACCTTGTTAATACAATGTGTTGAAGCGATTACTTAAATAAAGAAAGCAAAACTCATTTTACAATCCGGAGATGAATGAAAATTGTATTTTTGTCTAATTTCATATATGGAAGAGAAAGTATGTTAGTACACTTTTTAAACATCAAATACAAATTAATGGTAATATATAATATTATTTTTTTCACTTTATTTTTGCGTAGATGTGTTTTACTTACCAACATTTTAAATTTAAATTGATTACGAATGATTATTTAGTAATATATAATGTTAACATTTTTCGGGCAAACGGCCTTCGGGCAAGTGGCATTCGGGCATTTGTCGCATTCGGGCAAGTGTCCATTCGGGCATTTGTCCCATTCGGGCAATTGTCCATTCGGGCGTTTGTCGCATTCGGGCAAGTGTCCATTCGGGCATTTGTCCCATTCGGGCAAGTGTCCATTCGGGCATTTGTCGCATTCGGGCAAGTGTCCATTCGGGAAATCGGCCTTCGGGCAAACGGCATTCGGGCAAGTGTCTTTCGTGAATTTGTCGTAGACCCCATACTGCATAGCATGGACAATGGCTATTTGCGATTTTTGGAGACATCCCTTTATATTTCCCCTAAAACCCACTTTTAAAAAGGATAAATGGCCATGTTTTACGTTGCCAAGGTAACGAGACAATATCAATATACCATATGGTCGTGTTATATAAATTGACCCCATGTTCGATTTCATTAAATTGGCTCTATATAGTTTTGATACAGTTCTTCACCCCTGGACGTTTAATCGATGTTTGATAACACTAGTAGTACTGCATGATAAGAGTGGTTTTTTTTTAAAATCATTTTTTTTTCGTAATGAATGTCGGGATGGTTTAGTTTTGTAGGTTTCTGTGTACTTTTTAGCCCAGCCTGAAAGTTCTACTTTAAAATACCAGATTGATATAAGATTATCTTTTTTTTAAATGATAACGGATGAACAAGGTCTTTAATCGTTTTCATTTACCATCACTGCTTGGACCTTCAGCTACATCTCAAGCAAGTGTTTCTTTCAGACATTTTACCCGGATGTGGGGGGGGGGGGGACCACTTGAAACTTTCAGAATGGGGGGCAGATTTGAATTTCCAGGGGAGCGGAAACTTGTCATAGTATCCTATTATATATATATATATATATATATATATATATATATATATATATATATATATATATATATATATATATATATATATATATATATATATATATATATATATATATATATATAAGGTATATATAAATTATTATATTTTACCTATTTCATTCTGGGGGCGGTGAATGTGCCAGAAAGAAACTGTGTAGACCCTACATCTCCCCAATTCTTACCTCCCAGTCCATACGTACCAGCTGGTTTAACGAATATGTGCAACATATCGTCTTGGGATCTGCCTCAAGTTCTCGTCGCTTGCTTGTTTTCAGACAGCCTCATTTTGATCACATCGCGGATTTCGTTGCTTATCAATGTGAATGAAATGTACTTTGTTGATGTGTAATCAATGAATTCTTTCACAGCCCTAGGTGGCTGTTGTTCCGTGCTTCAGAATCGTGTGAGTTTGCGGAGTGTGTGCTAGACCGTGGGAACACCTCTCTCTTTCTTGTACAATAACTTAGGGTGTCTTCCAGACATTTCTCCGAGAGGTGATAGGCGCCTTTGAAACGTTGTGGGGGGGGGGGGGGCTGATTAAAGTTGGCCTATATGTTTTCTATATAAAGCATATTTTTTTCTATTTCGTGATTTCGTGGGGTGGGGGTGGTGGATACGTGCTCCGTCACTACCACCCCTCTCGCACAGGAAAGATTGTCTGAAACTCTCCATTGACCAAACCTGATATGTAAGGTTATTAGCATACAATAGGCTTATTTTCAACAACCTAACATACCTCATTTTGGAATAGGCTACTCAAAAATAAGGTTTGATTAATTTTTTTTTACTTGCCGAAAACGTATTTAATTAAGTTTTTTTGTTTTTAAAAAAGTTTAATTTAATTCTGCTGGTTTCTCTTCCAGACTGGTACAGGCAGCTACTGGGGTTCGCCTCATCTTACGCAGACGCAGGGGCCTTCAGAGTCTGGTTAGCCAACAAACCGGTGGTTGGAATTTTTAAACCTGAATTTGCTGAGGTATGCTTTTTTTCTTGCCCTACTTCGTTTCAACTCAGTTGAACTCTATGAGTAAATCCTTAGTAGTCAGTGTTTCTTTTCTGACATTTTACTCGTGTATGGGGGGGGGGGGGGTAAAGCCTTGAGATTTAAGTGGGGAACCGGCTTAAATTTACGGGAGGGGGTTCGGATACGGTGAAAAATATATACTTTCTATAAAAATATTTCGTTCGGAGGGGGAGGGGGGGGGGGGCGTTGTGCCTCAGTGCTTTAGCCAGGGGTGGGAACCCGGTCAAGGTAAACGTTTCCGTGCATTTAAAGTCATCTACAGCCTTGGAAGACTGAGTCAGCAACAGTGTTTCTTCCAGACTTTTTTCTCCGGGGGCGCACTTGAAACTTTCGTGGGGGGGGGGGGGGGCGGACTCAAATTCCATTTCGTTCGGGGGGGGGGACGGTAGACTTTCTTCGGGGGGGGGGGGAGCAGAGCCCCCACGAAGAGATGCATGGAAGAAACTCTAGTCAGCAACGGTGGACGGTTTATTACCAAACTACGCTTCGCTGATAGCATACATGCCACATCAGGCAGTGAACGCGAGTTGATAAATCAGTAGATCGATTAGTCAGAACATCGACAGCATATGGCATGAAAGTTGATGCCGAGAAGAAGAAGGTCATTACCAACAACCAAAATGGTATAGTGCAGCCATAAGGGTCAATTGCCCAAGTTTGGAGGAGGTTCACTCCTTCAAGTACCTTAGCGCCATCCTTTGTGATCAGGCAATAAACAAGAAGTACTCGCAAGTACTGCCCAAACAGCAACCCTCATTAAGTTAAGGAGCATTTACATTGACAAACAGATCTGCATTGGTACAAAAGCTTAACTCAAGCGGCCATTGCTCATGTCTGTTTTCAATACAGACACCCAGAGAGGGATTCGGGCCCTGAAAATCAAATGAGATGGCCTATCAAAACAATAATGCAAGGCAAGGTGCCAGGAGGGAGAAGTCGGGGAAGGCCAGGACGACACCGGATGGAGGACACCAAAAGACTAGACTGGGCTACCCGTTGCAAAATTACTTAAGGGGGAAGGCTCCGGTAAAAAAAACTTTTTTAATACTCGTTAGAAAACAGTTATTTCTTTACAGCTTTATTAAGATACACCCGCATATGCATTGCCACTAAAAAAAAAATTTGAAAAAATCTTGGTAACTATGACAACGGCGGCCATCTTGAAAAATTAACCCCTTCGTAGGTTTTCCACCATTCACAAAATATTACATTTTAAGCCCAATAAACAATCAATTCATAATCTTCTTCCATATTTTGGGGTAATCAGCTAAAAATTTTAAGTGTATATCTTCAAATTAATTTTTTATGAATTTTCAAAATTTGTGTCCGTTCAAAACACTAGTTTTAATGCCCCAAAATTCCCCAAAGTTAAATGTTTTGAACGGACACAAATTTTGAAAATTCATAAAAAATTAATTTGAAGATATGCACTTAAAATTTTTAGCTGATTACCCCAAAATATGGAAGAAGATTATGAATTGATTGTTTATTAGACTTAAAATGTAATATTTTGTGAATGGTGGAAAACCTACGAAGGGGTTAATTTTTCAAGATGGCCGCCGTTGGCATAGTTACCAAGATTTTTAAAAAAAAATTTTTTAGTGGAAATGCATATGCGGATGTATCTTAATAAAGCTGTAAAGAAATAACTGTTTTCTAACGAGTATTAAAAAAGTTTTTTTTTACCGGAGCCTTCCCCCTTAAATCGTCAGAAGATGTAGAAATCTAACAGGAAGTTATGAGAACATCAACTGTGGGACGATTGACATATCAGTTCTACCTCTGGCACTCCGAACGATTAGGTCTAAGTTAAGAAAATTATGGCTCTGTCTTTTGGTATATAATTACGTGTTTTCCCAAATTTACTGCACAGGTCAGGTCGTTTGCATTCACCCCTCTCCGGTCACCGTAGGTCTATAATTCTACCCAGCACATCCAGGGGTGACATTATTTTGTCGCTCTACACAAATTACGACCTGTTCCGTATGGCTGTAATAATATCCATATATGCTATAGCGTTTATAGTGATTCAGAAATAGAAAAAAAAGTTAATAGAGGTGTCCATTGGGGGGAGGGGGGGGGGTTACAACCCCTCATGACGCCCTCCTCTTGCCTACGCTACTGTGCACGTGTAAGCCTACAACTAAATATTTTAAATAGCTCCGCTCTGAAAAAAAGTTTGCTTCATATTTGATGCTAAATTACATAGCACCTCCAGCTATGCCTACATGTATACATTAAAACTACATCAGCATTTTAATCTACATACAGCACTTTAAAAAGACGCAGCACTTTATTAAGCTACACATGTCACCTTAAGCTCTATGTATGTAGCAATATGAACATACAGTTGTCTACTTTAAGCTACATACAGTGCTTTAAACTACACATAAGCTAGATGCAGCACTTACTGACTTGCATTTACTTGCTGAATTCCAAGGTCATACTGAGCAGCATGAAACACATTGACAAGGCTTTGGAATACCAGTTTTTGGTTCCCTGGCTAGGCACGGGGCTGCTTATCAGGTAGGTTTAATGAAATTTAATGGGAAGTCTACTTAAAGATTCAGGTAAGCTGTCATTGTTGGTCTCTACTATTTTCAAGTATACCGTCACTGTGGGTCTCGTATAAGAAACTCTTACAGTTGTCTTACAGATGTGACACGCCAATGTTCATCATCTTTATCTTGAGAAGTTCTTAGTTTGATGGCTTGTTTGTATTAATTTCTATTTAGTTAAATTAGTATCAAAGTCCAGTAGTCCAAGAAACTGGCGAACTCAATTACTAACGTTATCTTAACAATTCAACTAGATAATCAGGTCGGAAAAACACAGCTTGGTATTTTGGTCATGGCTTCTGTTTTGATTATGATCAAGTGAATTACTGATTATTGAATTGAGATGGTAGAATCTGAATCGTTAAATCTGAGGCCATTAAATCTAAGACAGAAAAATCTGAGACCATAAAATCTGAGACCATAAAATCTGAGACCATAAAATCTGAGACCATAAAATCTGAGACCATAAAATCTGAGACCATAAAATATAAGACAAAAATTTGAGACCATCAAATCTAAAACCATCAAATCTGAGATTTTAAATACCGACACAATAAAATTTGATCAAGACGATAAAATCTGAGACTATATAATCCTATCTGTTTCTTTTAGATTTCTTTCTCCGGATATGGGGGGGGGGGGGGTATTGAAACATTTGAAGGGACGGGCTAAATTCCCAAGGGGGGGGGGATGAGGGGCTGACATTGGCAAAGATATATTTTTTATTTTCTATGTGAATTCTATTTCATTCCAGTTGGGGGGGGGGGGATAGACGTGAGTGCTCTGTCTGGGCAATGACTTTCACTCATGGTTTTTTTTTCAGCACTGGAGAGAAATGGAAACAGCGCAGGAAGATGCTGACCCCAACCTTTCACTTCAACATTCTGCATGATTTCCTTCAAGTCTTCAACAAACAGTCTCGTATTCTCATGAAAAAACTAAACAAAAAGTCATCCAATCAAATTCCTTTTAACATTTTTCAAGATTTTGCACTATGTGCATTGGATATTATTACTGGTTGGTTTTGAATAGCTTTTAAAATGTCTTCATTTATTAAAACCGAATTACTATTTCATCTATTGACAATTAGTGTTGATTTTTTTTTGGGTAATTAAATAACTCAATAGATAAAAACAATTCTAATTATTAAAATATCTTTGTCACAGAAACAGCTATGGGTAAAACAATGGAGGCCCAGTCCACTGATTCAGATTATGTGTATGCTGTATATAGGTTAGTTACACCCAGCTGTATTCAGTATAATAATTTATACGACTTTGTAAATTTTAGATATCTTTTGCGTACTCTTTTGTTGGTTATAAAGGCTTTGATCATTAGACACAAAAAAAGATGATTTCTATATCATTTAGACATTCATCTACTTTTATTACACTGACAGTATACATTGACAGCTGATTGACAATAACACATTGACAGCTGATGGACTACAACACACTGACGGCACATTGACAGCTGATTGACAGCAACACACTGACAGCACATTGACAGCTGACTGACTACAACACAGTGATGGCACATTGACAGCTGACTGACAGTTTTTTGTTACTTCCTACAGGATGAGTACACTGGCAGACCTACGCATGCGTAAACCCTGGTGGGGAAATGATTTTATTTACAACACATTCGGTCCAGGCAAAGAACAAGCTAACAAGCTGAAGATCCTACATGACTTTACCAATTCTGTAAGCCACTTTTTAAATGCCTACATCTAAAATATCAATATATCCTCTTATTAACTAACATTTTTTCCAAAAATTAATATCATAGAGTTAACAATAAATCCCCAGTTTACTTAAATTAGTCACTGGAAGACTTAGCCACACTGGCCAACCATAAGTTTAAACAGGTAGGAATTCTTGTTGACAATGAATTTTGTCAGCTCTTTTAATGTAATGAAAATTAGGGAAAATAAAAGCGACTGGGCCAATAAATGATCCTACTATCCCACAGTGTGCCCAAGTTACAGGGTCAGGTGAACTATTGACCTCTAGGTGATTGAAAGAGATGAATGCTCAGATTTTAAAAATGTAAACAACTCTCTAAGCCTTGTTTTCTTTTTGCAGGTGATTGCTGATAGGCTGAAAGACTTCGACCAGAAGAAAGCTGAACTGATTGGCCAAGAGCTCAGTGGCCTCAACTCAGATCCCGGCCAGAGGAAAAGGGTCAGGCTGGCCTTTCTGGATATGCTGCTGTACATGTCAGAGAACTTGACCAAGTTGTCCATGGAGGACATCAGGGAGGAGGTGGACACCTTCATGTTTGAGGTGGGTGTGGTCTGAAACTTTCATGTTTTGAGGTGGGTGTGGTCTGACACTTTCATGTTGAGGTGGGTGTGGTCTGACACATTCATGTTTGAGGTGGGTGTGGTCTGACACCACTAAGTTTGGGTGTGGTCTGACACCTTTATGTTTGAGGTGGGTGTGGTCTGACACCTTCATGTTTGAGGTGGGTGTGGTCTGACACTTTAATGTTTGAGGTGGGTGTGGTCTGACACCTTCATGTTTGAGGTGGGTGTGGTCTGACACTTTCATGTTTGAGGTGGGTGTGGTCTGATATGTTCATAATTGAGGTGGGTGTGGTCTGACACCTTCTTGTTTGAGGTGGGTGTGGTCTGACACCTTCATGTTTGAGGTGGGTGTGGTCTGGCACCTTCATGTTTGAGGTGGGTGTGGTCTGGCACCTTCATGTTTGAGGTGGGTGTGGTCTTGACACCACTACGTTTGAGATGGGTGGGGGCTATGTTCAAGTTAACTCAGGTGTAGTTAAACACACATTTATTTTCTTATGCATAACTATCTGTTTATATATGAAACCATACATTTAAACATAACTTTTTAAATATATACATTCACAATGTGATATTTGATGAAATTTTCAAGCCCCATACTTGCAAAAGATAACTAAATAATACTCGGTAAACTACAGGCAACATTTTGTGACTAACATTAATACTTCAGGCATTGAAATCACAGTCAACATTTTGGGGTTGACAATAGTACTTTTGTTATGAAACACACACACACCTGTGTTCACACATATACACCTGTGTCTAATTTCAGGGTCATGACACAACAGCTGCAGCCATGAACTGGGCAACTTACTTGATTGGTTCGCATCCAGACGTACAGGTCAAAGTTCATGAAGAAATAGATCGAGTGTTTGGTGGGTTTTATTACTTAATGTCACAATATATAGCAATTGTGATGTCTCAACCAGTAATACATCTGTACAATATCTCATCGAAAATATTTTTGATGCCTCATAAATTATAAGAATCTATGGTATTTGAGCTCAGGTAAAAAAAAAATTAAAGGAAAATCCAATTTTTAAAGTAACTAAACAATATCTTTAGATGTTTGAAAAAAGTTGATATTATTCATATTAATATAAAGAAAACTATTTGTAGTATCAATAATGTGTTGTGTTTTTTTGTTAATCCTCATCACTCCCTGTGGAGTATAGGGCAGCAACAAATCTCCGCCATTCCACCCTGTCCTGGGCGAGCCACTTTAGTTCATGCCAGGTTTTGCCAGTAGCCTGTACTTCTTCTTCCATCTCCCTCCTCCATGTATCAATAATAGACTTACCTAATTGTGGATGTTATCAATCCTCACACATAGGTGACGATGACAGAGATGCAACAATGGAGGACTTGAAACAGTTGAAATATTTAGAATGCTGTATTAAAGTATGTACTTTTAAAAAATGGGAAGTTCTAGTTACTTAATAATCTAACATGTGAAAACAAATTGATAAAATCAGTTTTCAATGCTTGTAAGATTGCAGTGGAGAAAAGTGGCATAAGCAGTAGAGTGAACCCCAAAATGGTTGTTATCTCACTTTCATTTACAGTGATTGGCAGTTGTTTTCTCGTGATACATATATAAACTTGTATATTGTAAATAAATAAATAAATAAATAAATATATATATATATATATATATATATATATATATATATATATATATATATATATGTATATATATATATATATATATATATATATATATTCACACACACATAGAAATTTTAACATTTCAGCAAAATCTTGCCTAAAATCACGTTTAGAACTATCTTTTACTTCTTTGCAGTTAAAAAACGTAATAAAATTATAATTATTCTGTATGAAATGAATCAAAGTATAAAAATAATGTTTTCAAATTGTTATAAATTCTTCATGTTTTTACCATATGCAAAAGATTGTGTTAACAAACTATTTTCCATCCTGGCTTAAAGGTCGCAAAAAATACTTAAACTATTGTGAAAAATTTATTTCATTAATTAATTCTGCTTTGCTGTCTTTACTTTTAGTCGTATGTTAGTGAAACTAATGAGCTTTTTATGTTTTAATAGGAAGCTTTAAGGCTGTTTCCATCAGTTCCTGTGTTTGCAAGGCACATTGGTGAAGATCGTCAAATAGGTAGCCGCTTATAAAGCACCATTCATCACCTTCATCTTCTAACATAATTACTTTTACCAGTTAGACATCTGCTAATTCACATTTTTGTGTGATTAGACAGGTCACATTGAATGAATTCGGTATTAACTGATGAACAATATTTCCGATTAGGTGATTACACAATTCCCAAGAACACCACGTGTGTTGTTGTTACCATTGCCATCCATCGCAACCCAAAGATCTACCCAGATCCAGAACAGTTCAAGCCTGAGAGGTTTCTTTTAGAGCAGTATAAAAACAGACATCCATACAGCTACATTCCATTCTCTGCTGGTCCTAGGAATTGCATTGGTGAGTCAGTCAACACTCTTTAGAATAAAGAAATAATTGTAGATCATAACATAAATAAAATTAAGCTACTAAAAATCAAAACAAGAAAAATTTTAGTTACCACATTAGTGGGTTTGACAGTTTGTTGAAAAGAAAAGAGAAGTTAAAACTGAATGAGCATCTGTGCTTATTATGACACTTACAGTGACTTACCCAACTTATTTTGGAAAAGTTCTGAAAGGGTGTTTAAAAGAAACCTCATGGACCGGATTAATTTAAATGAATATCAATGGAGAAAAATGGTTTGATGTACAAGCAATTCAATATACAAGCAATATCTATCTTTCCATCCATCATAAATACTTATATATATATATATATATATATATATATATATATATATATATATATATATATATATATATATATATATATACCGTATTTTTCACAAAGACAGTATATCCAAAGAACAAGATATTGAGTAAAAATCAGTTTTTATTTTCCATCCCCTATCAAATTACTGTCCATCCAATATCTACTTGTCTCAGGCCAAAAGTTTGCCCAGTTAGAGGAGAAGACAGTGCTGTCCCATCTGTTCCGAAACTTTTCTGTCAAGTCAACACAGAGCAGAGCAGAGATTCGGCCAGTGGGAGACCTAATTTTAAGGCCAGAGTCAGGAGTTTTTGTGGAACTCACACCCAGGGCTAACAGGAACTAAGGCAGTATTATGTTGTTCTAGATAGAATTTTCAAATAGCATGCTTGATTGAAGTTTTTTTTATCTTAACAGTATTTCACCATTCACCTTAATGAAAACTTTTTCTACTAGGACAATACAAGTATACAAAAACTTGCCCTTTAAAATTTTGCTACAAAAATATTTATTTTCTACGTTTTAGCAATAATTTATTTTTCATAGATTGTAAATATGCTGATAGTGATATTGTATATTGTAATAGGTAATTGATCAAATTGCCTCTTTAATTTATTTTGAAAGAAACTGTATTTATATTTTGTAGAAGCTTATGTATTCTTCTGGTTATAAATCCACCTCTTTTACAGCTATACATCAGCTTCTAAGCTATGAAGAATATTTATAGATTGTAAATTACAAGGTTATTTAATTTAAATGCCCTTCTTACTTTTATATGTAATGTTTTTATACATGTTACTTTTCTTACCGGTGTTTTTATTATTTGTAGCAGCAGTTTAAAACAATTTATATTAATTCATTATTATAATTGTTATATTATAATGTGATATTCATATTGCAAGCGAAAGACGATGACATTTACTCAACATTAATAAAATATTTTAAGTTAACAGATTTTTTAAAATGTTTTTTTTAATTAACAAGAAGTAAGAACATTTTTTGCAAAGAGAGGAATGGTTTTTATTTTTTTTTTAGAACTAAATATTATGCACAAGACAAATTACATTTGCAACGCCCACCATGAAAAATATTTTATTGCTATTTTTGTTGTTCATTAAACAGTTGATATTCAAATGTGCCTAGGAAATTTAACAGATTTTTATACAACCAAATACCAATGCAGTAGTTAAATATTGCTTACAGTATAAGTAATACGGACTATTCAGCAAACAGACTTGGTGATATTTCTAATATTTAACACAATGAAAAACCTTATTAAAGATAGAATATATAAGGTTTTTTTTTTAAATTAAAGGAGCTTAAATTTATCTGGATTTCAAAGAAATTAAATGAGAATAAATACAAATGAAAATATTTTAATACTAGAAAAGACAATGAATTTTTCTTCCATTCTAAAATTACAAATAATCATTTAAACTTATCACAAAAAATGTACCTAAAAAAAGCATTTGAAATTATAAATGGGCAACATTATCGTTTACATTCTTTTGCAGCCGATCACAGAATTATTGCACACAAACACAATTTGGACTTCATGGAACAATTTTTCAATATTTTCTAACTAAATGAAAGCAAATGATGTAGACAGTGGATAGGAAACAATTTAAGAGTTATTTTTTTTCCAAAGAGTTTAAGTTCATTCAGTATGTTATAAGGAAAACTCGAATTTCATGTTTTTTAACAAAAGTTTTTCACTTATTTGTTAAACAATTAGAATTTGTATAAAGCAAAATACAGCAAATAGAATTCAATAGAAAAAATAGATAAAACCCCTTTTGAAAAAATATCTTCAAATTGCTGTAATCCTTTGATCATTGATTTAAGCATCTAAAAAAAAAACAATTAGTGATGGCTTTTTAATTAATAAACACATTTTTTTCAAAAAGCATTTTCTAGGCTACAGATTTACTCGATAATTAAAATTGGTGTAAAATTAAAGGTAAATGTAGATTTTAGTTGTTTAAGTCGTTTTAAACAATAATGAAGTTTAAAACCTCAGCAAACTCCCTACTCTTAGTAGCTTAAAAACATTCAGATTTTTATCAGCTGCACCATGATAATGTGCTTTAGCGCACTGTCACATAAAACAAAGGCAAGGATGAGAATCAACAGAGTAGAAATGTTATGCATAACAATCATAGGCTTGGTCAGCGCGTTAAATGGTTTCTCTTTGTGTATTTCATTTACTACAAGCCAAAAAAATATCACAGAAATTTTTTTACAATTGCAAAACAATGATAACCAGAAAAGAAATTCATGTGGAAAATATTAAGCCATTGCGACAAGCTTGTTTATGCACTTAAAGATACTTCATAAATTTAATTGAAAAAACATAAGAGTAGTAGTTATACTTTAGGAAAAGCTGACTAGCTCAAAATCTGCTGATGGTAGGATATATGTCAGGGTAAAAATTTAGATCAAGGGCAAGTTGTGTACATACAAAGGTGTAGAAAACTTTTAAAAGTTATCTATCAGAGTACATAAGGAAAAGCTTTTTTAAAATAAAAATTTTTAATCTCTTGGCACATTATTTATTATGGCATACAATTTTAAATAATACTTTTTTAATCAAAGTAATATTGCTATTATGGACCTTTAAAAAATCATCAGGGCTTGGCATTTGGCATGTGACCTATCAATGCGATTTTAAAATTCTGGTGAATGAAAAAAAAAAATTAAACATGAAACAAATTTCATCTGTAATATTAATATACCAGCTTTTGATTGTGGGTTCAGGAGGACATGAATAAGTATTGTGCTATGATGTACCCCATATTGGTTCTGTAGGATTGATTATGTATTGGGCTTGGATTTACTTCACTTCTGTACCACTGCTGATACAAATGGTCAGGAGCCAAAAACTATGCACATCTGGGTTTGGGCTGCTTATATGTATTGCACTAGAATGTATCCTACCCAGGTTCTGTAGACTACCTCTGAGTTTTCCCAGTCCCACATATTAGCTCTAAACATCCTCAGTGAGTGCTGTATGACCATATGCTGATCACACTACACACAAGAAAACAATACCTCACCTACTGTGTGCACCTCAACAAAAAATGTACACACAAATGATGGTCAATATCATTACATTCTGGAAAAATTTTAATGAGCAAGAAATTATATAAACAAGGTACCTAAGGAATGCATAGTTATTACTTAAAACAATTATATATGAAGACCTTTTGAAGTTGTATATAGCTGTCAATATAAACAGATTCTTGTATGATCCTTGATGAGCAACCAGCAACATTTCTTATTCTACTTACATTTTATATTTTTATCAGCCTTTTATGGCTGTTTTTGGGGGAATGGCTGTTCTAATCTTGAATCCATAAAGACTGCTGACTGACAAAGAGGCTTAAACTGCATGAAACTATAAGCAAAGCACAGTTCTACTCTGGTCAGCAGAACAACAGCAGTGAAAGAAATAATTTGCTAAAATGACAAAACGGAACCACCAAAGCAATTTGAAATTTATAAACTTCCATTGATTGCTACAAAGATGCACATGATATCATAATCATTCACTAGAACTTTGTAGATTTACAAGCAGATTGTCAATTGCCATGATTGTGGCTTTAAAAGCACAACAATTTCTGATTCTACTTGATAGATTTCGTACTCAAAACTTATGAGTAATTGATATGTGCTAATAAAATTAATCACTGATGATATCAATATACATCAGAACCTATGTTTTCTCCCTCTTTCATGTAGTGCTTCTATGTTGTCTGTTACAGCATCTGCCTATGTGCAAACTTTCTAAACAGGGCAAAATTTTAATAGCAGGAGATATGAAAGTTTTCTATTTTTATCCACAGGTACTAAAATCTCTCTATTTAAAAGGTCATTTTTATATGTAATTAAATGTTGATAATTTGCTGCATTGAAATTCAATAAAATTTTACACTGTCAAAAGTTTTAGTCGCATAGAGCATACACATCTAGACATGAGCAAAAAAGTAACGTTGCATTTATGATTTAGATTTGAGGCTTGAATTTTGTGTGTGATAGAATTACAAGATTTTAGACAAAAACAAAACAAAAAACTACCCACAGTTTAAGTTTCAAAGAAATTAACACACTTTTTCAGCTACATGTTTGTGATATTAAGTTGTTTTCTCCTGGATTTATTGCAACATACTTTCTTAAATTATTGGTCTTCATCTATAAAAGAATAAGCCTGAATTTGAAACTGTGTTGACACATCATATAAATGCTTCACTTTAAAGCAAAGGAATAAATTAATCTGTCAATCTATCCAGCTCCTCCAACACAAGTTCACATTTTTCTACAAGAATATTCTGAGCGTCTGTTGTTCCGAGGGCAGTGGCAAGAGACTTCCTGAATACATCTTTAGCCTCGGCCTCGGTAACCTCATCACCCTCGTCAGAGAAGTAGCAGCCGTGGGAATAAGATATCCTCAGCACTTGCAGCGCGGAGGCCTGATGCAGCTGCTTACATAGCGTTACAGCTGTCTCAGTTTTCCACGGGTTCCCAGCAACATTTAGGTACAGGAGTTTGGGCATGAGAGAGAAGTTAAAGTTCAGCATGTTGAGGACTTCATCAGACATGGAACAGTCCTGAAGCTCAAGAACCTTAATACTGTTTGCCACCTTGGCTAATATCGGCACCAAAGGGAAATAACAGTTTGATAAATTGTTCTCACTGATGTCCAGTTCTTCCATCTTCTCGAGGTATGAAAACACGGCTAAAGCGGTGAGGTCAGAGAGGGTCAGCCCACAGCCAGCAAGACGAAGGTGTTTGAGTGGGCTGTGGATCCCAAGCAGCACGTTGCAGAGTTTGTTTTTAAGGCGGTTGTTACTGAGGTCCATGCGCTCTAGGCGAGTCAAAGTGGACAGGGCTTGCCTCATGATTTCAGCCATGGGCTCATTGTCATACAACGTGATGTGGTTGCATGACAGATCAAGTGCTGTCAGCTTGGTCAGAGACTGTAAAATTGGAGCCATCCTAACAAAGTCCATGTTACGCAAAGAGTTGTATTTCAATTGAAGACCTCTGAGTTGCTGTAAAATTAAAAGAAAATTGTAAACATTAGGGTACATGTAAATAAGCCTGTGGAGCACACTGAAGCTATAGAGTTGCTACACAAACCATAGTCCTTGTGCTGAGCCTAACAGCATTACTAGCAGAAAAAAATGTCTTGAATTATTTTTCAACTTGTGATGGTATTAAAATAACTTTATTATATTAAACTGTATCTTTAGAATGTTAACTTTTAAAAAATAAAAATGTCATTACTGTTGGGATAAAACAGTGACAACAACAACTAGAGAGGAATTTCTGACACTTTTTTAAACCTATGCATAAAAAAATAAAAGAAGAAATTTTATTGCTATACATCAGAATATAGTTAGTGGAGTTTAATAAAGAAGACAATACAGTGGACACTGATGAAAGCATTTTTTCTTCCCTGTATGGCCACAGGTAGCACCTAATATTTGACTAAAGAAGAGCGACCTTCATCACTGCACACAGGATTGTGATTGGTCAAACCACTTACTTCTGGGCTGATCTGTTTTAAGAGTAGGTTGACTCTGTCCCCCCCTAGACAAGTGACGCTCAGTTTGTCAACAATCAGACGGAACCTAACCCCAGGGAAACTTGACACAGTTAGAGCCTTGCAAAGTTCAGAGTGACAAGACTCTGATGTGACAAAGGCGTCTAACTTGATCTCAATGTCTGTGAAGAAAACACACACATGGGTAAGCAATAACTATATAATAATTAATACTTTATACAATGATTGAGACATTTATATTTATTGGTTGCTATGTTGAACTCTTTTAGTGGAGAGGAATTTATTAGAGTAAATATAATAAATGTAATAATGTTACGAAGCTAGCAAATCTACAATATTTAAATTTTAAGTGCAAACCTATACTATTATAACCATTATACTAACATTTTTAAAACTGGAATTTTAAAAGTGCATGATTACTATCATCATCTTTAAAAGTTCACATGACTTTCTGTGAATTGAATATGAAATTATCTAAAACTACAACAAAATTTTAAAAAAAAAAATTTATGTCAATTAAATTCTAGGATAATCATTTTAACATCTCAACAACAAAAACAAGGACAATAAAAAATTGGATGTTAATTAAACTGTCCCATCATCCAGCTGAAACACTGCAAAAGCTACTCGATTAATAAATAATTAAACTGTAATATTTAATTATTCATTTATTATCAAATTTAATTATGTAAGCCTAATTAAATTTAATTGTTTATTTATTATTTAACAGTAAAATTATAATGTTGAACTTGGATGATGGATGGATGTTAATAATATTGTAAAATAATTTTGTTGTAATCTTACAAATATCACTGGGCAAACAGTTTTGCATATCAATCTCTAAAGGTGTGTGGTGGTTGGCACCGGTCCCAGCACATTCCTCTGCTAGTGAGACCGCCTGGTTGTAAAGGTTCACCATATTATTCCGTCTGTTTTCATTGTGGACCAGCATGCAATGGGATGTTAGATAGTACAAAATGACTTCAGCTGAAACAATTTCGTGTGGCACATTTATTTACAAGTACAATCATTCTATCATGAAAAACTGAATATATTATTTTAAGTAACTTATAATAATAATAATTTTTTAAAATAATTAGACTATGAAATAATTAAAAAGTAAATATATAGTTTAAGTTTTCTGTATCATTTTCCGTAGGGTAAAAAAGTATAGTGCATCAGCTGACTGCACAAAAGGTCTAACTTGATCATACCTGTAGGAAAGCCTGTCAAATCTAAATGACGCATTTTAGTAGGTGACTCTTGCCTCAAACATTCTAAAAATGTATGTGCAAGTGAAGTTGTGTAACGTAGACCTAAATTTTAAAAAAATATATGAAATTTTTTTTTAAATAATATATTAACAATATTATTATCAATAGTTTCAATATATTATCAATAATAATTAAATATAATCAATGTTATTATACCACAAAATTAAAAAAAATCTTTTTCATGTTTTGTCTTTAAGTAGAAAGATGCCAGGTGATTTATTAACTACATTATAAAACTTTTAAAACAACAAATTACTGAAGTGTTGCCGTTATCAGTCGTGTTTTACTTAACAAGTTAAAGTAATGAAATTTTAAATCATTATATTGCAAGTGCCATAATGTCATCCTTATGAAATTTGATTTATCAAAGAACAACTGCTGAAGTGTAGCAGTAATCAAATAATCCTTACCCTGCCTCACAAGGTCAGACTGATAGAGAGGTTTGTACATTGGTAACAGGGATGAGAAGACACTGGGCACTAATTTAGACAAGACAAGAGATTTCAGGTTCCACCGCGACATTAGGGCTTGTATGGATCTGTCATGATTCCCTTTCAGTGCTGCTTCCATCAAATGTATACACAGTATAGGAGGCACGGAATCAATGGCTGCACGTGTCAAATTGGCATCTCTAACGATAAATGCACAGCACACTTCTAAAAGAAATGGAGCCTGAAATATGACAGGATTACAAAACTTATTTTTTCATTTTAGATCTGACAATGTGAATATTATAATTTCAAAATGTAACAAATTTTTATCAAAAATTTCTTAGTTAAAAATCATATAGGTGTTGCATAAAAATATACATTGCATGCCTTATGTGGAACTAATGTGGAGTAAATAAAAAATTATACTTTTAATAAGCTAGTATGATATATTTCATAATCAACAAGTAGCAGCTATATCTTAGCCCAAACTAAAAAATTTATTATAGCAAAATTTTTTTTTTATAATATTAAAGTAGAACTATCGACTTGTGTGTAGAAAAAAATTGTCTTACGGATGTTTGCATTTGTCTGCAGCATGGGGGTCCTTCCAAGTCTAATGGATAAACTGCACCTTTATAATGATCATACCACATGGAATGCATCCCTTGCATTGGGGTTGTTGCCATGCTGAAATTTGAAAATATGACTTGCAAATCTATATATATAATTCTCCTCTTCGAGCCGTTAGAAAACAAGCTGCAAACGCTCTCCCTACCTCCCCACCCCTACATGGTTTTAGTGAGCTGTGTTCACTCTAAATGTTTACAAGCAGAGCCAACGATTTTAAACGTAGGGGGGGGGGGGGGAGGAGGGGGGGGGGGAAGGAAGGGGGGGGGAAGGAAGGGGGGGGGGGGTTATGGTCCTTAACGAGCTACTTATAGTGTTTTAAAGAAATATTTTCAGTGTCAGCGTTGGTACTGTCGAATTCACAAATTATGAATTATTGAAAATTAGAAACAACTAAATAGCGGCGTATGTTATGCCGCGGGCCGGCTCGTTGTATTTAATAGGTTATTTTTATAATTTTTTACTATTTTTACTAGCTATTATTTTCAGAACTGTGTTAACTTTAACTATCATCATACATTTCCTTATGACCAATAATTGAGATCTGAGTTCTCAATGAGAAAAGCTTGACTTTGGGGATGAGGGTTAGGCTTAGAGTAAATAAATTTATTTATTCTTGAATAAAAACAAATTTTTCAGCAGAGTCTAGGCTAAAACTGAGTCCAGACAAGAGTTTAAAATTAACAACAAAGGCATGTGTACAATGTAGTACACATGATTAAAACTAGATAAACAGACAAGTAGGCGTTAAATGTTAGGTTACTCACTACCTCTCCTATATGTACATTATTTATCAGATCAATGAATGAAGAGAATGAAATCAAATGTAAATAATATCACAATGAAGTCAGATTCTTGTGTTATTTTTCATTTTGCAAAAAATTGTTTTGATTCGCATTATAATTCAAAATAAAGATCACATGTATTTCTTAACAAAGTAACCTTTATTCAGGCCTACTTTTTGTGACTGTAATAGTAAAACATTATTTTGGTGGGTTAAATATGACATTGCTTTAATTAAGCGGAAATCATACAGTAAAAACAACAAACACAAAGACATTATAGAATTACATAACAAAAAAATTAAATAACAAAAAAGGCTACAGTGTAGCCCAGGGGTTCCCAACCTTTTTTTACTCTAGAGCACATTCTAAAATATCTGTAGGGTGGCGGGCACCACCTATTTTAAATCGACAAACTCCTTCCAGAGGCGTAGCGACCCTTCCCGTCACCCGGAGACAAAACTTTCGATTTGCATCCCCCCCTCAAACTTTCGATTTCCATCCCCTTCAACCTTTCAATAATGTTAGATCTAGTACTGTTAGTACTCTAGGACTCTAGCTAGATCTAGAATCTAGTTACTAGTAGCTACACTAGCTACTAGCTAGGACTAGGACAATCTTCATTCACGATTCTTCATCATAATCTCAATGTAGTGTGAATCTAGTTATATCTAGATTCTAGATCTAGTCTAAATCTAGATTCTAGATCCTGAGATTTCTAGATCTAGATCTAGATCAGTAGATCTAGATCTAGATATCTAGATCTAGAATGTAGATCTAGATCTAGAGTCTAGATCGAGATCTAGAAGACTAGTCTCGTCTTAGACTAGAATCTAGATCTAGATCTAGATTCTAGTTGAATCTAGATCTAGATTCTAGATCTCTAAAGAAAAACTGAAAAGTAGATCTAGATTCTAGAATCTAGATTCTAGATCTAGATCTAGAATCTAGATCTAGACCATACTTACATGTTGATGTACTGCCAGTCGTAGATTTAAATAAATACAATCTAGAATTATACTGATTCAGGCTAGTGAGTACGACAGTAAAATCAAATGTAAATAATAATAAAATTAAGATGAAACGAGATTCTTGTTATTCCTCTTCCATTTTGCAAAAAAAAAAATTATCTTCCTTTACAAGAGATCAGTTTCTTTAAAACAAAAATAGAACTTAGCCTACTTAGTTTAGAGATCTCCTAGAGATCTACCACGGACCCTAAGATCCATAATCTACTCAACTTAATTCAATACAATCCCTAGATCTAATAATCATTATTGTAATTTTAATGTTCACCCAAAAAGTTCAGACAATCCTAACTTAATAGACTTAATTGTTGTATGTTTTGTTTTTGAAATTGATATAGTTTTGTTCCACTATTAGTAGATTCTGCACCCAACTCTTCAATTTTAAATTACACACATTTGAACATGGCGACGTCCTTAGGAAACTTATTGCCGAAAATGAGTGTTCTTATAAAAATTTTAAGACCCTGCAATAATTCAATAAAAACATATATTGGCCCCCCTTACTGGTAATTATAATAATTAAACATGCTAAATAACACGGCATAGATTTTGATCAAGAAGTCTAGATTAGATTCTAGTCTAGTTCTAGCAACAAGAAATCTTTGAGTCTAGCTTCCACACTCCACCTTCAATCAACAATTTCATCAGCTTGTGTTGAGCAATTTTATTTTTTTAATTTTGTTATGAAAATGAATCTTTTTCTTAGGCTCATCTCGCTAGATATAGATTTACCTATCTATGGTATGACCTATGATGATACTCTATCTCTTGTCTAGCTGTCAATGATTAGTGGTAGATTCTAGGTAGTCAGGTAGTAGCGAGACTCACTAACTTAAAAGCGTCCTTGGTTGCTAACCAGAACATGGCTACCACACCTTGGCCTACGATTGGGCAATTTTTAACACGTTTTTATTAACTCAGCTTCGCGTGTGTTTGTTGTTAAAATTGACATCGAAAATTAGCCCACTTCTGATTGCTCTATAGACCTGAAATTTGGCATGCATGCTACTTTCGCCTAACAATTTCAGATGCAATCATAAAAACTAGCAATTAGAGACCGTAATTAGCTTAATTTAATTACGCCCCAAGGACCATAAAATTGAGGACATGATTTCTAAAGATACCGACAAGACTGGAGGCTTATCGACACAGTTACTTCGGCCCAATCGATGTGAGCGCGCTGGCCGTGATCGTATAGTGGTTATTACTTCTCGTTGTGGCCGCGACAACCCAGGTTCGAATCCTGGTCGCTCAAGATTTTTTTAGTCCGTGTATTTATAAACACTTAGTCAATTCATACTTAATCAAGTCATTAGATAAAGTAGAAAATAAACTATATAAAAAACTTTTTTAAAAACCACGTTTTTCATGTGTAGCAACGGACTAAAAAGGAAAAAATAAAATACTTAAAAAAAACTTTTTAAAAAACCACGTTTTTCTTGTGGACTAAAAAGTAGAAAATAACTATTTACATACATTTGATGACAAAAAACGTGGGTCGGGCAGATGGGTCGGGAAATTTGATGGTGAACGTACCCACGTTTTTTGTCATCAAATGTATGTAAATAGTTATTTTCTACTTTTTAGTCCACAAGAAAAACGTGGTTTTTTAAAAAGTTTTTTTTAAGTATTTTATTTCTGCTTTGTTCGAGAGACCACCTTAACATTAACTTTAAAAATAATTATCACGCGAAAAATGGCGTTTTTTTCGCGTACTTTAAGCAATCTAATGATGACAAAGCTATTTTTGGCAGATTTTTTTTTTTTTTTTTTGCTTCCGACATTGAAAGGTCAAACGTAAACATGGGTACAGTTTGAGTAGCTCAAAAACTTTAAATAATGGTCTCTAAGGTGTCAAAACTGCATGCCTAGGTCGAGTATTATTAGATTGATCGTTTAGTGAAAAAAAAATGGAAATATTATGTTCGCCTTTTAAGAAATCGGCATCGCAAAAAGGTCACTGAAAGCACGTTATTTTTTATTGTGACGTCATCGCTATTGTTACGGAAGCTGTACAGTAGTATCCTCTCGCTGCTTATATAATTGTTTTCTTTTCACTTGACACTCTTTTTCAGCTTATTTTGCTAGCGTAATTAGACTAATTAAGCCTAATTATGGATATTTCACCTGACTTTTGGATTATACTATGACTCTAAAAACCCTTAAACCACAACGATCTGTTATTTTTTTTTTTTTGATCCCTGGAATTAGATCTAGATCTAGTAGTGAGCGTTGGTCTTTGTGTGCTTACTTAGGCTAATGACTTAGGCCTAATTATTTGTTTTCAAATTTGTTATAGCTTAATTAATTTGTCTTAATTCTTATTGATTTCATAAATTTTAATTAGGCTAATTATAATATTTTCACTGGTCTTCGTTGATACATTTATTAGGCTTAATAATGTTAATATTATTACGATTTTATAGGCCTGATAGATAAATTAAATGATTTTAGCGTTGGGTCTAAGTTTACATTACTAATTAGTACTAAGTAAACCAAGTACGCATGGACTAGGACATGTGTGCTGTGCCCGCGCTGTGGCGGGCGATGCCTCTCTCGCTGACAAACCAGCGCGAGCGAGCGAGTCGTTTGACACACGTGGTCTGTGTCGATGTTTGGAATGCATAGGCATAGGCCTAATTCTCGCTCTCGGGTGATTAATTTTTATGCGCTGACATTTGAAAAATCAAATAGACACACATCTTAATTAAATACATTTAATTTGAACTTTATATTAATCTAGACCTATAATACTAATTAGGGCCTATAACTTGGGATAACAAAGTACTTGGACTAGATTTAGCGCATGCGCACACTGTGCTATGAGTTTTCTCTCGCTGGTTGACAAAAGAACGCAGGCGGGCTAGCGATGTTTGTAATTTGCATATATCTTTGCTCACAGGCGATCATTTTAATGAGATTGGCCTCTTTTTATTTTATAGGCCTAATTAATTGTATTTGATAGGCTAACTTTTCTGGTTGACAAAACTAAGCGAGCGAGATGTCTGTCACGCGCACTGCCCGTGACGCTGTTTAGAATGTATTTCTCGCTAACTTGATGAATTTGAATACTATTGCAGTGTTTTTTAAAATAAATCAAATACTTACAAATCTTTACATTTTAAACTGAGCATAGACAAAACTTTGTAAATAACACACCTGTCCCAAGTCAAGTGAGAGAAGAGGGTTAGATTAATTTTACAACGACATCGCTATATTTTATGAATTGCCCTAATTAAGCATTGCTAAAACACTTACACTAGTTAATAAAACATGCATGGGATTGAATATCTTTAAAAAGATTAGATCTAGATCTATACTATATATTCTTGAACATGTTTTTCATTAATTTGAATTTAGTTTTCCTTTTTAAACACCCTTCCATTTAAAAAAATTAAATAAAAATATTTAAAAATTCTAGATCTAGATCTAATTCCATTACGTGATTTTTTATTCTGACGAAGACAGTGTACATACGAATAGAAATGCGGTAATAAAATCAAATGTACTGTGCATATTCTGCTAAAATCAAATCAGCTGCAAGGTCAACCCTGCAGAGTTCGTCTCTTCAGAAAAGCTATGGCGATCTGGTTGTCACGGATTATTTGGCTTGCAATGCTTGGAGTGGCCAATTAATAAAAATCAGTAATTAAGCTCCAAATGAGTTTATTTTCAACAAATTAAGTATTTGATTGATTAGAGATTGATCTCTAGTTTCCATTGGTAATGTTTAAATCGAAAAATAACGAAATTTAAAATTAGTGAGTATCTCTACAGGTAGTGTTATAAAAAACTAGAGCTAGCTTAGTAGCTAGCCTAATGATTTTAATTTAAAAAATTAAAGCTATCTTCAATTTATGTAGCCTTATCGGAACTAGATCGAGATCTACTTTGTGGTAATCTATCGCTTTAGGTACGTAAAATCGGCTAAGGCTAGTAATGTGAAAAGAAGGTGGCTCATTAAAGTTTAGTAGGCCTAATTAATAGGCCCTAATTATTTCACATTTTAAGGAAGATACTAGGCCCAATATGTTTTGAAAGTTACAAAAGTGTTTCAAAGTTTCATTCATGTAGGCCTACCTGTTTTCAAACAATTGTATTAAAGCTTTTCAGTAATAAATAAAGGCTAGCGATGTTTTCATCAGATGCAACAAAGCTCGTTTACTTCAGCAGACTTCTTGTTTAAGTTTTTTTTTGACAAACTTAAAGCGTTAAGGATTTTTACTTAGACTAAAGGTTGTTTTTAGACTAAATTACTTGTAGGCCTATTGCTCGCTAACCAAATTTTAAAATGCTTTTTGGCATTTATACCCCTGTCACCTACTGTTTGTTTTTATAGTTTGTGGTAAATGTTTTTAAAAAGGTCAATGGAACAGAGACAATAAATCGTGCGGACGGCTTATTGTTTTTAGAAACCTTCCCAGTCTGCAGGTTAGCAAGCAGTACTAGTATACTTACCCTCTGTCAATTTAAAAAGCATAGCATGTTAATTGTGTACAAATATAGTCATAAAACAAAAATATAAAGATCAAATTCCAATGTGCCACACCTCCTGTTAACTGTTTGTAACACTTTACTGGTTACATCTGTAATTTACATTAATTTTTAAATTTTTATTACATATTTGTCATTTGGGTAAGACTTAGCAAATTTGTACTTAAAATTGAAAACAAGTGAGAGTAAACCAATTTGCATATGTAGGTCACATGCCTAGTACTGGCCACATAGTTTTTTTTACAAAGGTGATGGATAGGCCCTCAGTCACTTTGTATTTTTTTTATCACAATATATATGTCATAAAGTTAATACATGTTAAATTGACTAGCATACTTTCATTGACTTTAAATACTTTTTTCATTGCAAACTATTTTTTTAGTTTTTCATCAAAATGCCTACGAAGAAGTTCTAAAACTAAGGGTTAGGCAGTGACATAATTTGGTTGTCTTACTTTTGATTTCATTATATCCAACCTTGTTTTGGAAGCATCGATATTCCATTGTTTCAAGTACTTGGACTAAAGGTTAAAGTTAAGGATTTTATATTAATTGGCTATTAAAGTAGCCAAACCTAACGTTATGAGAATTCTATATAGTACATTTAGGCTTAATAATCCTGAAATGACTAATGAATATTAAGCCTAATCAGTAATTAAATTTTTGCATTAAATATACTTTTTTAATATGTTTAAAAGTAAAAGTATCTTGTCTGCTATTGCATATGTATTTATTAAGTTAAAGTATACGTGCTAACTGGTTATGTTCCATATAGTTATAGACAGTTGACACTGATTTCAGCCTGCTGTTCTTTTTGTATTTGCTTTCATAGCCTTTGTCCAACCAAGAACAAATTACAAGGCAGTAAAAAAAGGCAGCTGTTGTTTGATTTTGGTGCTGTCTCTCCTAGAGGAGTTGCTGTCCCCAGCTATTGAGCCTCATCAGCCCCAGATTATTCATACAAATACCAGTCAATTGCAGACTGGATTTCCCTCCATAAAATAGAGCTTAGATAGAATTAAAATTTAAAAAATACAATGCTCCTTCAATGAAAATGTGTGTAATAACCATCATGGATTATCTTAGTGTTTTTCAGGTTTCAAGGATGTCACGTTACAGTCCAGCTTTTTTAGACCCAGTAACTAATAAAGAAGAACTAAATGAAAAGCTATCAGAAAACGATCAGAGACTCCATAATCCACTCAAAGCCCCGACAACAGATGTTTCAATTTCACCTTTGTTCTATGATCCTATTGTTTTGTAAGTTTATGTAGTAGTTGACTAGCTATTGAATAGCTATTGTGTGTTTTTCAAGTTAGTCATTTCATTAAACAACAATTTTGTTTTTATAAATTGTTGGAGGGGTACTTTATCAATGACAACACAGAATTACCCCTTAGCATTATCTAATTACTAAATCAGCACACTTAGACATGTCATACCCTGACCACAATAACCAGAATGATGTCATAAATAAAATATAAACATATAAATACTGTACTTTATTCTATTCAAATATATTTTAATTATATAGTATTTCTGTGGTTCTAGGGTTGAAGATGTTTTAATAATAAATTATTTTTCCCCTAAACAGAAAATTCACAAATGTCATGATGAAAGGAGGAAATAAGGAAAGAGTCAGGGAAGTGATGCGTCGGGTAAATTAATTTTATCAAAAATATTTTAAATAACACCTAACTTGGTTAATTTTATAGTAATATTCTCATTTTATTCAGTAAGAATAATTGTTCACCTTTTTTTATTTTTTGCTAAGAAGCGTATAATTTAGAGAACAAAATTTAATTTCCTCACTTCAGTTGTTCGAAAACATGAAGCACCTTCAAATTGAGAAATGGCACAAGGCTTCTGAGATAGATAGGAGTCAGATTGAGTGCAACCCTGTAAACATCTTTAAACAAGCTGTTGACAATTGCAAACCACTGCTGATAACTGTTAGGGTTGTCAAAGGTGGAGTAGCGTATAGGGTAAGTCAAACAATTGTAAACCACAGATGGTGTTAGATTTATCAAAGGTGGAGTAGCATATAGGGTAGGTCAAACAATGGTAAACCACTGCTGATAACTGTTAGAGTTGTCAAAGGTGGAGTAGCATATAGGGTAGGTCAAACAATGGTAAACCACTGCTGATAACTGTTAGGGTTGTCAAAGGTGGAGTAGCCTATAGGGTAGGTCAAACAATGGTAAACCACTGCTGATAACTGTTAGGGTTGTCAAAGGTGGAGTAGCATATAGGGTAGGTCAAACAATGGTAAACCACTGCTGATAACTGTTAGGGTTGTCAAAGGTGGAGTAGCATATAGGGTAGGTCAAACAATGGTAAACCATTGCTGATAACTGTGAGGGTAAGTCAAACTATTGAGACAATTTTTTTTCAACAAATGTTTTTGTTTTTAAAGTGGAGCTGGCAATAGGAATGACTAGGTTGGATGATACAGCGTACAACTGCAAAGTCCAGAGTTCAAAACACCTGGCTTGAGTTCGTATGGGTTACCTGAGTCAACCCAGTTATGATGGGTACCTGACTAATGACGTTAGGGAAAGTTTAGGAAAGGTGTCAGTGCAAACTGCTATAAACACTATCCCCTAATATACCTTGATCACACAATACGTGACCTCTACTTCATCTGCCCCATGAACTACCAGGCTTGCAAGGGTAGCTGACAAAAACAATAAAAACATATTTTTATTAGCTTAATTTGTTTCTAACTCTTCTTCACGCTAACAATTTATATTAGATCATACTGATGCTGTAGTGACTTTATTAAGTAAGTGAACATTCTATTTCCAGGTACCAGTGTGTGCCAAGGACAGCGAAAGTCAGTTTAGGGCTATGAAGTGGATCATTGATAGCTGTAGAGACAAAGAAAGAAGAATCCCAATGGAAGAAAAACTTACTCTTGAAATCATGGATGCTTACAATAATCAGGTTTGTCTTTTAAATAATGTTTTTTTTTTTAAAGTAAATGTTAATTTAATCAACTTCATTAAATTTATTCTTTAGGTATATTTTCTAAAAAAAAAAATAATTGTTTTATTATCCATTCTCAGGGTAAGGCAGTGAGAAAGAAGCAAGAGCTTCATAAGATTTGTGAGAGTAATCGAGCCTATGCACATTTAAGATAAAGATTGTGATATCAGAGTTCTGAGTATATAAATTATGTAACACATTACAAGATTATAATTTTTTTTATAGTAAAACCATCTGAGATGCATTTTGTAAATAAACCTTAATAGTCTTTTGTTGCGATGTGTTTTTATTTTCTTAAATATTAATTCTAAGTCTGAGGGCCTGCACACAATCACCCGTGTGAGTACATAGTCCCAGGACCTGCACACAGCACCATGTGCATAGTTATGATAAGCCACAGGTTTTTAATTATCAAAATTTAAATCAGTTTTTTACATTGTGTGTTGATGGTACAGCTGAACAACCTTTATATTTATGGGTCTAAATATGGGGTGGGATGGATCTACCATCCCTATGGAGGTGTGTAGCTGGGGGTAGATCTGCTAATATCCTTTCCCCCCCCCCCCCCCAGAATTTTTTTTCTAGACTAACGCTTCTTTTAGCTATATAATTTATTCAACTAAACTGTTTACACAAACACTATCCTTTCATATGAACTCAAAATCATCTGCCCAGTGTAAGAGGAACGTTTCTTTACTGTTAACACAATTCAGTGAAGAAACACATCACGCCTTTAAAAAAATACGAATTCAATTCTAGTCTCATAACTAGCCTCGAATTGTGAACTAATTGTAAATGTTACACTCCTAGTCTTCCCAATTTGTATTTTGAATCTTTTCATAAATTGTATTGAACATTGATAAATGAATCTAATGTTGATCGTATCAATTTTTAATTATGTTCAGCCGTAATTATACTTTCGTCGGCTGAAAGTAAAACCTAGTTTTCTAGGTGGTTGTACTGGTTATAGTAGGTAAGCAGTAGACCTATAAATTATTTTCCTTGCCAAGAGAAACAATTCAATCATTTTGGCAAATGCAGCATAACTTGAGTTATTTCCCCTAACAGAAAAAAATCATTCACTTTCACCGTGAAACTAAGGGATTGGTCTTAAGGAGGCAAATCAACAAAGGAAAAACTGTGATGGCACTTAATTAGTTCTATCAGGAGAGAAGGGATGCCTGCACAGTTAGACACTCACATAGTTAATACTTCTGAAATGATAAATCGACATTTCTAAACTCTTCTAATTAGATCATTTTCTTTTGAAACTTAATTCCAGCAGTAGATTATAAAATTAAAACATTTTCATTTTACACATTTTGCTACAAAATATTTTTTACAAATTGGGTCAGCAGATTATTTTTGTGTCAAGTGTATGTAAGCCTAAATATAAGCCTCTGTTTTTTTGTTGTTAAAACTTATTTCACCATCCCTTGTGTCTGGGTGGTATTGGTCACTTCACAATGTAGGCCGGGGGTCTCCAAACTTTTTTCAGCCCGAGGGCCGCATCAACTATCAAAAATCAGTCCGGGGGCCAGAATTTTTTCCAGGCATCTCTTTGGAGTAGCAGAGCCTTCCTCCCTTCCGTTTGTCCAACCAAACCTTTCTTTATGCCACTTTCCTCCATCAACAGTCGGGGAACTGAGGTTAGTCCAGTCCAAGTTTTAATCAGAATTTTTTTTTTTAACTCATTGAATATATCTTCTCCGGTAACAGTGTCATAAAAGCCAGCTCTTGTGTTATGTTCATGTCTTCATCACACCTCTAATAAATACAAGCAGTTGAGAGGTGGAACCGCTGTCCAGCGACTCATCCATTGCAATTGAAAAATTGCAAAACTTGTTTGCATTTTTCGCTATTTGAGTCACGATGTTTTCACCAATCTCTGCAACACAGTAGGCAAAGGTATTTGCACCCAAAGCTACATTTTCAAAATTGTTATGAATTTTCTGGGCAAAGTTCCTCAGCCACCTCCAACAAAAATCTTTTCCATGGACAAAAAGATCTCAGCGGGCCGGATGAGAGGACCTCGCTGGCCGTAGTTTGGAGATCTCTGATGTAGGCTAAAATATAACATTCAATAATTTACTATAGCTTCTCAGTGTATTTGGACCTGAAGTAAGCATGGCATTCCTATTTTTAATAAATAAAACCATACACATTTAATCATTAAAGTAATCATTAATGTTTAGATCTGTTAGCAAGGAGACTATATAGATCTCATAGAACCAACTTGAAATACTCTAAAACATTAAATTGTCCTGATATTGTACATGGAAACAGTATACTAGGAACTCAAGTCTGCATTCATCAAGTTAACCTGTCATTTAGATAGTATGAAAAGTAATCTGAGCAAATAGCAATAGTGGCCTAGCCCTAGAGGCTATATATAATAAGCCCTGATTAAAATGCCATCTATTGTACACAACTCATATTATGTTGAAGCTTGCTAAACATCTATTTCAGCCCTGATTAAAATGCCATCTATTGTACACAACTCATATTATTTTGAAGCTTGCTAAACATCTATTTCAGCCCTGATTAAAATGCCATCTATTGTACACAACTCATATTATGTTGAAGCTTGCTAAACATCTATTTTAGCCCTGATTAAAATGCCATCTATTGTACACAGATATTATTAGAAATATTAATTTGTTCTTCAGAACATATTGGTCAATAGAAAGATTCATAAAGGGGAATTACAGCATTTAATTAAATTTCAAATTTAATGTTAGTCTTGTGGTTGAAGCAAAACAAAAAACCTTCCATATGTCATTTTTTTTACTTCAAAAACTTTTTTTAAAATAACATCTGTCATTAACATTACAAACTTTGTAACAATAGAGCCATCACATTTTTAAGAATGTTCATATTTACAGGTTGTGTAGACCTACACAAGTTTAAAAAAATGAAAAACAATGCTGAATAATGATAGCTCATAGAATTATAATAACTTATTACACATGCATGAAATTTTAAAAAATCAATATCAAATGCAAAAAGATTTCAGTCGAAATGAAGGCAGTGAGAAGCTGATTTGAAAAAAGTTCTATGTTTGCATGACATGTTGTATTCATTTCACATTTTTCTTTCCTTTCTCAATACACTTTCGGAATTCATTCACTTCATCTTGACAAAGCCTCCAGTCCTTCTTTTCTGCAATGCACATTTGGACAGCATGGTGGAGTTTAAGGCAACCTGTTTTACTAATCATGGCATCAACAGGATCTTCATCTTCATTGTTTTGTGTATTCACCTGATCTTTTTCAGATGCCATCTGCTACCTAACTGTAATACAAGAAAACATTTTTTTTTAATTGCGTTACCTGGACATGGAGAAATTTAATTACTTCTGTTGAAAAAAATTAAGAAAATTAGTTACTTAATAGTTACAGGTACTGTTTCTCAGTTCTGACACACTTGATAAATTATAAAAATGTCAAAGAACATTTGCAAAAGGTACCTAGGCCTATAGATTATAACTACCATAAGACAAGTACAACAGATAAACAAACAAATCATTGATACAATAATGAATAGGGCCTAAATCAATAATTAATATGGGGCCTAATCAACTTCAAATAAATATGTAGGCCCTGCCCTATCATAAGAAAATTAAGGTGTTCAAACACATTTATTTATAAATCAGAATTAACATCTATTACAATTAAACTAATTAAACGTTGTCGTTGATCAAAATGAATTCTTGATCTAATGTAGTAAATTTAGTAATTATGATGCTGTACGACTACGAGCTCGTGTACGTAACTAACTTCATCAGGTAGATCTAGATATGTATTGAGTATGCCCCCTATCTATTGCATTGCCCTCCAAAAGCCCAAGAGTCAAGACTAGAGAGGCCCTCTATCTGCAGACTAAGTTTTCTAGAATTAGATCTAGATTCTAGATTAAATTATAGATTACAGGTATTCACAAACACTACAGTTCCCTATTTTAAATTTTGCAACAATTTTTATTTAACTCTCCTACATATATCTAGATCTAAATCCGATTAATAGTCTAGGCTTTGGCTCTAAATGCTGCGATAGGTGATGATGACATTGACGATCGCTATGCAACAGGAGGCTGACATGTTGGATTTTACAAATCTAGATCTCGAGTCTTGCAGAAAACACACGGAACAATTTATTTTTTAACAAGAAAATAAAACACAGCGGCCTAATAAATGAATGACGTATTAATAAATTAATTAAATGAAAAAAATACCGTTTTATTATTTAGATAATATATTCTATATTCTAATTGTAAAAGTGTTAGTTGCTGTAGACAGTTTAATGTCTTTTATAAGCTTACTTTTAACGTCTGTACTGTAGCAGGCTGTTTAAATATAAAAAGTACGGCATTCTTAATTTAATTGAAAGTTTGATACCGGTAATAAAAACAAACGTGAGCTAACTTATAAAAGTAATTTTACTCATTTGATTGGGGGGGGGGGGGGGGTAGGGAAAATGAATGGTCGGGGTAGGGTTTCGGTCGACTTTGTCACACACGCTAGTTACAGCAGAATATCATAACAACCCCACCCTCAAACACCACCACACCCACCCAGACACCCACACGCCACACATCTAAACTTTACTCACCCAAATATTGAAATATCGGCCTGTACAGTTTATTTTTTAAAATGCGACCTTAAGAATGACAAGCCCTTCCATTGCAAATAAATCATTTAAAAAATACAAAATACATTTTAATTGAATATTGATATATCGATCCACAATTCAGTCCGTGTTAAAGACATTTCAAACCTGCGCCACCTTTATCTTTTTGGTATTTTTGTAAACAAGAATATGAAAAAAAAAAACGTGAATGAAGTTATTTCAAGTGTATTGTAAGACATACAGACCGACATAAGCCACTCCCTTCCCTGAACAAACAAACGAATGTAAAGTTTTAAAAAAAAACATGAAGATTATCGAGCCCACCACGCCCTTTTCTGATATCGTCACCTACTCTCACCTGTAAAGCTGACGATACCCAGGTATGCAACTAAAATATCTGCCTCACCTTTACCCCCACACACAACGGGGTGCATCAGAGCTGAGGAAATATTATTGCCAGTAAAGGGGGCGGGGGGTTGTTGACTTAATTCCACGGCCCTTTGAGGATAGCTCATTCATACAAGCAGCTAGAGTAGGGAAGGATATTCTGTTGATTACTGCTGTAGCAGATTGAAGGCAGGCAGGTAAGGGTATGAAGTATTCATGACATGAACTTACTGTGTAGTATCGACTCCCTGAGATCAATAAACACCAGTTAATAAGATAAACACTAGTCAGTGATAAGGTATCAATAAACTACCCTTGTTGATTAGATATACAAAAGCTAGTGATTAGAGATTAACAAACTACATGTGTTAATTGGATATACAAAATCTAGTGATTAGGATTCAATAAATTACCCGTGTTAAATGGATACATAAGCTAGTGATTAGGGATAAATAAACTACCCGTGTTAATTGGATATACAAAATCCAGGGATTAAGGTTTAATAAATTACCCATGTTAATATGATATTGCCTACATAAGCTATTGATTAGGGCTCATTAAACTACCCGCATTGATTAGATTAACACAAGATAGTGATTAGACCTTTTTGTGTTATACTATGTAAACTATATCTTGTTTATTGACCGCTGTATGTGTTGCGGTAGTGAGTTCTATTTGCAATAGGCCAGGGTTCGAATTCAAGTTAGGACAAATGAACTATAGATAGTGAGACTTAAGGTGATCTCCCAGTAGTCCTACTTGATTGGCTATCATTCAATGAGAAATATACAGGCTATGAAAACACGTATAAGCTTATAAAAAGCTGTGGTTTTGTTATTTCAAATTGGTTTTTATTATTTTTATTCATGAGGGTTTTTCTTCTCCACCCCCTGCACCATTTCTAACTCAAAAACTAGAAGTATGAATGTTTATAGCTTTCATACGTTGGGCTTAATTAAAGCAGTATCGATTGCTTGACTGATAGGCACAAAGAGCATTTTAGAATTATTTTTTTTAAACTTAACCCCACGTTTTTTTTTCTTCTTGCAAACCAGCCTGAGTGTGTTGTCTTATTATATTAAAAGGAAACATATTTATTTTCTTCACTTAAGTGCTTGTAAAAAGTTTTGTATATTTTTATGTGAGATTTATGTAAGATACTAAATCAAGTCAAAGTAATAAAGAAAAGTAGTATGCCGGAAAACGGAGTAAAAGATATTGACGTCATTAATAATAGAGACAAAAATTGACCGCCAGCTATATTTTTTTAAACATTAAAATGTATGCATAAATACAGATAAGGCAAATATTACTAACAATTTTTGTGTACAAGCTAGGGTTTGTGTTGCAGTTGAGGTTAAAAGTTTAGGTCTAAGTTCTGTCTAGTGTAGATGTTAAAGGTTATGGTTGAAAAAACAAAACAAAAAAAAAACACATTAACAACCTAGCGTCTGTGCCAATTATCTAGTAAGCAAATTGCTATATTTTAAGAGAATATAAGAGCGTCTGGGCCAATTATCTAATCTAGTAGGCTAATTAATTATAATCAGATATTCATCAAATGACTGGTGGCTGATGTAGCGGATTAAAAATAACGAACTTAAGTAAACTAACTTAAGCATGGCGCAACTCATTATGCCGGGCGTAACATAACATGACAAGCGTCACTTGTCATGCAATACATTAGATGGTAATGTTTTGTTTCCTTGTCTGCACGCACACACAAGCTGTCTCGACTTTTGTCCTCGTCACATGAATATCGTTGACTGGGTGAGTTCGAATCATTGGTCAATGGTTCACTTGTTAGCATTATGTTATCATAAATTTATTTTAAAATTAAAAAAAAAATCTGTGCTTATCTGATAGTCCGGTAGGTGATTAGCAAAGTAGGTTAATTACCCGAAGAAAGTGGTACAATTATTGAATACGTACAGTCATTTGTGTTTACATAACAAGGGTATATGCAAGAGGGTTCGATGGGGGTTGAATAAGTCAGCGAACGAGAGCGAGCGAAGTCAAGTATTGATCACATTATCTATTATTGAACACCGCCGTGGATTTAATGCAGAACGACTCTGCTCATTGTGTGAAATGTAGAATGTAGCTCACAATAACGGATGCGGCCCTAGTCATATGTGTATATTGAGAGAAAGTCGTCAGATTGTTCTAGTGTGTTAATACTTGGGCAGGACCGGTAACTCTCCATGGGTAAAAATGTTTACAGAACACGTTTTAGTAGTTGTAATCCAAGACCTTTAGAAGCAAACAAACGAAATGGGATATGTACGTTTTTCCATTCCTGTTTTATGAACAAATTTCTTATGTATTCAGTTCAACCGGAAACACAGGTTACTGATTTCTGCAGTGCTGAATAAGGCTATGCCACGCTTACTGCGTGCCACTGAAGTTTAAAAAAAAAAGTCAGAAATACTTATTTTCGAACCATTAAAGCCAGCAGTAATTAGTTTCGTACTCAACTACTCGGGCCTGCACGTGTGTCGCCAGGTGTTACTTAATGTAGATTTATTTCTGTAACTAAACGTCTATTTATAGCTGTTCGATATTGCATGGACATGGTGTGTATCAAAATGTGTAGCGTGTAAGCTAAGCGTCGGTGTTATGTGACCTTATGTTCGTATTATGTGACCTTATGTTCGTTTCATGTGACTCTATGTTCGTGTTATGTGACGTTATGTTTGTGTTAGGTGACGTATTCTTCGTGTTATGTGACTTTATGTTTGCGTTATGTGACTTTATGTTCATCTTATGTGTGTATGGGAGCAAATTGTGTATGTGATTACTCAATAAGCAATTCAATTCAACCTATCATATCTGGCACTATGGAGGGGTTGAATAGGGCAGTGACTAACATACGACTGTTTGTTAATAAAGGCTGATACACAGGTAGGACTAAGCTTCTGCATAAAGTCTCATTGCTTCTTACACTGAAAATATTATAGTAATTTACCAGCGCCAAGTATGAAAAAAATAACTATGTAACTATATGCTCATGTCCCCGTTAAACAGTCACGTAATTATAATATTAAGGAGTATGCAAATTTTCATAACAGTTTTGGTGCGCTATAAGAAATACATAAATCTACAAATTACCAGTTAATATAGACTTTTTTTTTGTTTTTAATAAATGGGTAAACATATACCATTACTTTTTAAATAAATAACGTATGATCTTCTCTATGATGGCGATTAAATTATCAGTTAAATGCAACCCCCCTCCCCCCCCCCCCACACACACACTAAGACACATCTCCCCAAATTGATACACATCTTACCTCAGAGGCAACTCATCAAATGGGCTGCCCCCACCCACGGAGCATACCTTACCCCAGAGGCACCTCCTCGAATGGGGTGGTGCCCCCTCCCACGGAGTACGTCCACCCCGGACGAAATAGAAAATAAAATATCATATGGATATATTTTAACCAGTCCCCCCCCCCCCCTCGAAAGTTTCAAGTGTTTCACCTAAGAAAAAATATCCAAAAGAAACTGTCTCCCTCCACCCCCAAAGTAAAAGAAGCTTATGAGACTAGGACATAAGTCACGACAGCTTGTGAGTGCGTGTATACAAGGAAACAAAACATTACCAACGTATGTATTGCATGTATGTCACGAGACGCTAGTGATGTTACGGCCAGCATAATGAATCGTAGAATTAATAGATTGTGTCTAAGTATAAGCTTGAAATATTCGTACATTTTTTTTCAAATTTAAAAACACTTGGAAAAAATATTTGGCTAATTTAGTCTGCCGAAATCTAGACTATATGATGAAAAAAAATCATTCGAAAATTAATTCAATAAATAAAATATTAAAATAGGTTTTGTCCTTTTAAAACTATTCATGTGAAGCTACAACTACCTTATGTATAATTTTATTCAAGAACGGTAAGAATAATGTTAAGAGTGCGCTCCCTTTTGTATACATCTACAACTTTTAGCCCATAGTACCATTAGTACATTTTTTTTTTACTGAACACTCGTCTAAGGGACAAGAGTCCAATTCACATTTCTTCGATCGTCTTAATACAAAACAAGCCTTTATACGTGGTGGAAACTTGACAGACAAGTTTATTAAACGTTTTGATAAACTTTTGATATCTACAAGTAAACAGTACTTTTATATAGGTTACATCTGTATACCGACTGAAAAATCACAAAAATAATGTGTAAAACATAACACAAGGGTATATAGAATATAATGACATATGTTTCTTTGATAAAGTGAAATATGGCATTGTAAATACATAAAAGATATTATTAAATACTCCCAAAAACAATGTCTGAAATTTCTTTTAAACAATAACTGTCTTTTAAATCAGTCTAAAATAAAACAAATCTGACCACACTTAAAACTACAATCAGAGTTACAATCAGTTGCCTCCCACACGGTTTTGCGTAGACTGCTAGGCCACGAAAGTCGCGAGTTCGAATCCCAGTTCAAGTCCCTGAGTCCGCCCAGCTCTGATGGGTACCTAACCCACATCAGGGAAAGGAAAGGCGGCTGGACATAGTGCTGAACACACTATCTCTTAACATGCCGAATTCTTTTCTACTTATTACACGAAGCATCCATACTTGGGTTATAATATGAAGTAACCATCAGTGATACAGAAGAAACTCACTGACCTACGTATGTGTTTGGGTCAGGTGATGAAGTGGTACGCCCTAACTCTGATACAGAAGAAACTCACTGACCTACGTGTGTGTTTGGGTCAGGTGATGAAGACACTGGTACGCCCTAAATCTGACATATACAGTGGATTCAGTCGTCATCCATCTCGGACACATTGTTTAGATATTTCAGTGACGGCTGCTGTTGAAAAACATGGAGGGGGTCGAGCCTAAACCACGTCACACTGCTAATGGGGGGGGGGGGGGAGGTAAGATTTTGTGACAGTGGGATGATGAAGGAAGGGGGATGTTCACACCTTTTTCTATTTAAAAAGTAATGCTTTAAACTGAATATAAGCTGTTTTTTAAAGTCGGTTCTTGTAAATTGTAATAAAACTTTATTACTTAACTTAAGCTACTCAGCGTTGACTAGTCTCAGTCCATGTCTTAGAAAGACATCGATGTTGTAAAAAATAAAAAGGATAAACCCCTGAACTAAAATGGCTTTAAAACTCAGCCTTCCACCCCCCCCCCCCCTCAAAATCGCAAATTTGTTTTTTAATACTAGATTTGTTTTTCCAAATTTATTTTCTGAGCAGGTTCAACATTTAGTATATGACCTATATATAACCAATTTCTATTACAAAAAATATATAGGTTTTTTAAAAAGTGAAACAACGACTAAAATTAAGTTTCTTATGTTATTTTCCCTTTTTTTTAAATACGGAAGAGTGTAGTGAACCCTACCCCCCCCCATCCCTCGTCACACATTGTCACAACAATCTGTCCCCCACCCTCCCTTAAGAGTGTGGCGTCGCTTATGGACGCCCCCTTGGGCTCTAGTCATAAAGTAATACTAAATCTACCTAGGATAAAAAACATCAAGTCCGTCGGAAAGCTTTTTATTGAAAATCCCTTACACAAAAGATTAAAAATAATATCAACAGATTGATTAAATAAGAGTGTGAGTGCGTGAGGGTCACATACGTATGTAAAAATCCTACTTGATGAAACTGGCGTGAATTGATCATCAAACAGTGGTAGAAAAAGTTGAATGAAATGTTGACTGTGCCCCGCCCACACGTCACTTCCCATTGAATATTTCTTGATATCGTGGTATGGATATATTTGACTAGATTTTAAAATTGTTTGCGTGGACATTTAGGCGGAGGTTTCTGTAGTTCAATTCTATGGCATATATTAATGTTAAAATATCGCCCAGGCTTAAATATAAGGTAAATATATTTAAGTTAGAGTACACATATTACATAATACGGAGGGGGAAGAGGTAGTTTATTAATTAGTTATAAAATGTAATATGAGGTGGTGAGGTATAGAGATAAGTTATACAATACTGATTTTTACAATTCGTTTTTTTTTAAAATAAAACTGTTTACAGCTGTTATTTATTGTTTGAGGAATCGTATTACTAACACACAGGACTTGTTCTACCTGTTCGTATGGCACCCAAAGTATACTAAAGTATACTGTAGTGTTGTTGTTAGTTTTGAGAAGTGGGGTGGTGGTGAGGGGTGTGGTTGGGGTAGGTGTGAGGTAGGGCGGGTGTGGGTGACGGGTGGTTGTTAGGAGTAGGGCAGGGTGGGGCATTGATGAGGATAGGGAGTGGGTGTTAAGAAAGGAGTGTTAGTGAGGGTGGGGCAGGGATGAGGGACAAGACGGGCTGAGTCACATGGCGGATGTTAGGGGTGGACAGGGTGGGACAGGGATGAGTATTAAGGCGGATGGGACAAGAAATAACGAACATTTTTGCATACAATTTTGCAAGTATTTAAAAACAATGTCAACTCTCTCCCCCAGTAACCACTGAAGATTGACGAGACTTTGACAACAAACAGTTGGTCAGTTGTCTACCCTGTCAAGGTCTTCAAGCACACGGCAACATGTCTACAGTAACTTGACACAGTCAGTGAGGGCATTTCGTTACTGTGAGTACAGGCAACATTGAAGGGAAACTACTCAGTTCAACTGTGGCAAGGTAGAACGATATCTGTGAATTGTGACGTTAGACCCAGTAACGTACATCAACGTGGGATACTTTATCACTGATAAAGTACTCAGTGGCGTGGTAGCCAGTGACGTATCAGAGTGACGTAGTACCCAGTAACGTAGTACCCAGTGACGTAGTACCCAGTGACGTAGTACCCAGTGACGTAGTACCCAGTGACGTAGTACCCAGTGACTTCGTCCCGAGTGAAGCAGCACACACACAAACAATGCAGCGCAAAGGCTGGGTCTCCCTCACCCTCTTCCTGATTGTCGTGGCTACCGTTATCCACATCGCTGGACTGGTCAGCCCGCTGTGGATCTGGCTGGTAAAGACGGAGTACACCGTCGCCGTCGGTCTCTACTACAGGGTGGGCTGCGGGGCGAGCACCGACGGCCCGTGCACGAGCCCCACCTTCAAGACGGACCTACCCTTCAACTACATCGCAGGTAACCCCAGGGCTATCAGTTTTTATTGTTTAATATGGTTCTATGTTTTGTATGTGTGTCAAGTTATGTGTGCATGTTTGTATGACATGTAACAGTCACAAAGGAAAATTTTTGATTTTTTGTGTGGTGTAACATGCGTCATTTGGGGTAATGGATAAGTGTATGTTTATGTTTGTATGCGTGTGCGCATGTATGTGTGTATGTCTGTAATAATGGGTAGATAAGTGTGTGTATATATCTTCCTGTGTGTATGACGATGTTTGTCCACTCTTATTTACACACACACACACACATACACACACAATACAGGTAAACAGGTAAACTAAATCTGATTTGTTCCCAGCATTAAATACTAACAAATATTAACATACATACATTCCCCAACTAATCTAAACTTTAATCAAGTATCAAATTCCCAGCGTCAACTTGAAATAACATCCCCCTCATACAAAAAAATAAAATTAGCGCAGATCCACAATAAACAATGTGAAATAGCTGTATTTTTATCCAGGGTATTTTTGACGAGTGTTTTTAACCTGTTTTGCTTATCAAAAGTGAATGACTCTGTCTTTTCAGCGTTTATTTCTTAATAAAGTAGGCGACTTTAAAAGTATCTGATTAAAATATCTGTACGGAAAAACTTTCAAAGCATTTCATCGACTGGACGTTTTTATTTAATGGCGTGATGGTTGGTTGGTTTCACCAAAAGTAACGAAATGACCGTATAAAATTGGTCAAAACAAAACGAACAATAAAATGCTGCTTGTGGTACCAGCTTAGACTGGGATTTATGTCCTGAGTCACGCGCTAACACGGGCTGGTTTTTTTTAAATTGTAAAATTAATGGTGCGTGACACACACCCACCCTAGCGTTAGCCATTCCGTCTGTTCGACACAAACAGCTGACAAATACATTGAAGTACACGTGTCCTGAGAAGCCTAAAGTGTAACAATATTCATTATATATATATATATATATATATATATATATATATATATATATATATATATATATATATATATACAGTCACCAGTGGGTATACGAAAATAAGTAAATTCCCACCACCAAAAAGAGATAAATACGCATCCATGTTTTGGATTTAAAAAAAAAATTGCTTGAGAATTATGTTTAAAATAAAAATGTTCCAAAATATAATGTACGAGCCGACCCGCTGCGTATCATACGCCGCTATTTAGTTGTTTTTTTTTTCTACTTTTCAGTCATTTATAATTTGTGAATTCGACAGTACCAATGCTGCCATTGAAAATATTTGCTTAAAAACACTACCCCCCCCCCCCCCCCCCCCCACGTGAAAGCAGCCTCCTCTTAGTTACCTCCTCTAAGTTTAAAATCGTTTCAAACTAAATTATCTGCCCCTAATAGCCGTCACCAAACCCGTCTCTGTGATTGTAAAATGTAAACAGAGTGAACACAACTCACCAGACAATGTGGGGGTGGGGTGGGGGTGGTTGTGATATTGATATAGAGGAAGAGAGGGGACTGTAAGGCGAGGTTGCAGCTTGTTTTCTAACGGCTCGAAGAAGAGAATTATATATATAGATAGATTATAACGGAGCGACAACTAGTCTTTAAAAAATATAACCTAGGTCATGCGGGTCAATGGGTGCTTTAGGGTGGGGTGGGGTGGTGTGGTGTGATGTATTAGTTGTGTGTGGGAGAATTTTGTAGTGTGGTGTGTGGGAGGGTTTTTTAGTGTGGTGTGTGGGAGGGTAATGTGGTAGTTGTGTGTCGGAGATTTTCGTAGTGTGGTGTGTGGCAGGGTTTTGTAGTGTTGTGTGTGTGGGAGGGTTGTTTAGTGTGGTGTGTGGAAGGGTAATGTAGTGTGGTGGTGTGTGGGATGTGGTGTATTGTGGTGTGTGTGAGGGTTGCCTAGTGTGGTGATGTGTGGGAGGGTTTTGTATTGTGGTGTGTGGGAGGGTAATGAAGTGTGGTAGTGTGTGGGATGTGGTGTATTGTGGTGTGTGGGATGTGGTGTATTGTGGTGTGTGGGAGGGTAATGAAGTGTGGTAGTGTGTGGGATGTGGTGTATTGTGGTGTGTGGGATGTGGTGTATTGTGGTGTGTGGGAGGGTAATGAAGTGTGGTGGTGTGTGGGATGTGGTGTATTGTGGTGTGTGGGGTGTGGTGTATTGTGGTGTGTGGGATGTGGTGTATTGTGGTTGTGGGAGGGGGAAATGAAGTCTGGTAGTGTGGGATGTGGTGTATTGTGGTAGTGTGTGGGATGTGGTGTATTGTGGTAGTGTGTGGGATGTGGTGTATTGTGGTTGTGGGAGGGGGAAATGAAGTCTGGTAGTGTGGGATGTGGTGTATTGTGGTAGTGTGTGGGATGTGGTGTATTGTGGTAGTGTGTGGGATGTGGTGTATTGTGGTTGTGGGAGGGGGAAATGAAGTCTGGTAGTGTGGGATGTGGTGTATTGTGGTAGTGTGTGGGATGTGGTGTATTGTGGTAGTGTGTGGGATGTGGTGTATTGTGGTTGTGGGAGGGGGAAATGAAGTCTGGTAGTGTGGGATGTGGTGTATTGTGGTAGTGTGTGGGATGTGGTGTATTGTGGTAGTGTGTGGGATGTGGTGTATTGTGGTAGTGTGTGGGATGTGGTGTATTGTGGTAGTGTGTGGGATGTGGTGTATTGTGGTAGTGTGTGGGATGTGGTGTATTGTGGTAGTGTGTGGGATGTGGTGTATTGTGGTAGTGTGTGGGATGTGGTGTATTGTGGTAGTGTGTGGGATGTGGTGTATTGTGGTAGTGTGTGGGATGTGGTGATGTAAACAAAATAAACCTGGCAAGATGAAACTAATAAAACCCATCTCAAAGCCTATTCGATCAAGCGTATCCTCATATATTTTAATTGGCATATTTTTCTATACATAATGTATGTGTCATTACGTTCCTGTCTATTGCAATGTTGTATTGAAGTGGCACTCAATCCTTTTCCGTAGAAACGTTGATGGTGAGGTAATGGGTTCCTAACATAACAAAAATATAGGATCGGTTTTTTTTATTATATTTCGCAAGCGTCATTACAGATTAAAGGGATTAATGGGCCTAATTTCGCTAACGAAATAAAAATTCATAAAAAAATAAACATATGGAACATTTATATAATGTACTAAAAATATGCCATTGTATGAGACGGGGGCGTGTTGGGGACGAAGCAAATTTGTACACCAAACCATTCAACAAGTGACAGTGGCTTGTACTCTAACAGTATAAAATGTAACGTAGGTCCCCGCGTAAATAGCGCAGGGCACTCCAGACCCACGGAAACACAAACACCGCGGCCCATATTGAACGCTGGGTCGTTGAAGCGTTGGATTGGCGTTTAAAGAAGTTGATCGTGTTCCTGTGATGTCAACACAGGGCGTGTCCTGGCACCACCCCTAGCCCTACCCGTCAACGTAATTTATCATAGATAAAACGGGTGTGGCCGTTCTTGTTAGTTTGTTTTAAAGTTTAGGGTTAAAGCCATTTAGTTATCATTTAGACTCTAGTAGATTAAATATTGTGTATCCTTAACGCTAACCTTTGGTAGGGTTAGTTACCTAAAGGAGTGTTTGGGTTTCAAATCGTAGAGATCAAATGAATACAGATACGTATAAAACATATGCACACACATACAAACATAGGTTATACTTCGTAATCACAGGTGTAAAAAAACCACCACACACAAGTTTAATTTTACATTTTTAAAATTTATTTTCCTTTCCTCTTGTCACTATTATAATAATTATTATAATAACTATTATTACAAATAACATAATTATTAATACTATTAATATAAACTTTATGATAAATATTATATATATATATATATATATATATATATATATATATATATATATATATATATATATATATATATATATATATATATATATATATATATATATATATATATATATATATATATATATATATATATATATATATATATATATATATATATATAAAACTTATAGTGACTTTAACTTTAAAATAATACACACTCAATCTAATCTTGTGGGTATTAAATAAAGCTTAAACCAGATCAATTCAGGGTAGAAGCACCGTTTTCAAACGATTTTTTTTTCACAAATGTGAAATCCCCCCTCCACCCGCCCTCTCCCCTACCCCCTCCACTTCACAGAATCCTGTCACATCAATCCAGGGTAAGCTGATCTTGTATACCAATTGTCACGTGGGTGTCAGTGGATTCATGCACCGTGTGAACTCAGGCAGAACTATTCATACTTTGATTCGTTAATTGCACAATTTTTAAAAAAAATTGGTCCCCACACATGCATCAGACTGCACAGTTTTTCCATTGGTCCACACACATGCATCAGACTGCACAGTTTTTCCATTGGTCCACACACATGCATCAGACTGCACAGTTTTTCTATTGGTCAACACTACCTTGGACCACAATCTCGACATGTCGACTTGCTAACCTTTTAAACATTTCTTGCTCGATAACAAAACAACACCAGTTACAGTGTGGTTAAGTGGTAGAGCGTTAGATTTCTAGATGAAGAACACTGGATCGAATCCCTAGCCTATCAGCCCATCTAGATATCATGGTTGCTTGATTAGAGTCGGGGAAAGACAATGCGACTGGGCATTGTACTAACCAAATAACCGGGGGCAAGACAATAGATTAAATCTACTTCACCTGCTTCAGGGGCGTAGCGAGGGGGGGGGGGGAGCGGGGGGGGGGGGGTGCGGACCGCACCGGGTGACACCATTTAGGGGGGTGACACCAAGGCAAGAAATAGCAAAATATATAGAGAAAAACTCGAGGGGGGGGGGTGCAAATCGAAAGTTTGAGGGGGGATGCAAAGTGAAAACTTAAGGGGGGGGGTGTGCAAATCGAAAGTTTGAGGGGGTGGGGGTGCAAATCGAAAATTTGAAAGTTTGTCCCTGGGAAGGGTCTCTATGCCTCTGGGGGGGGGGGTGACACCATTAAGTGCCGCACCGGGTGACACCCGACCTCGCTACGCCACTGACCTGTTTTACCTACCGGCTGGCTTGAAGAAGAAATAATATTATCTAGAACCGCGTTATTCCTAATACGTATTCTAGAACAATATCTTTTTTGTGCTTTAAATTAAAATTACGTTAAATATCAAAGCTCTGGCTAACAGTGATTCGAACTCTCGTCCACGCCTTTTCACCCATTTCTTCACCCTCAGAGTTGACCTAGTAGCAATATTTTATGTTTCCTAAGCAAACACTGTTTTTATCCTGCATTATTGTATTCTTATAGTTTATATGTGTGTTAAGCAAATATTGTTTTTTTTATCCTGCATTATTGTATACGTACATTTTATATGTCGTGCCTAATAGAATAATTTCTAATTTAAGTTTCATATCGATTCTAAAAAAACGTTAATCGATATTCCTTTTTGACGTATGATTGATTTTATGAAGTGTGAATATTAACTAGCTCCTTAACGGGGATTTAACCAAACGGTATAGCGGAACACCGGGTTTGAAAAGGCCCGCACAAATAACACGTTAAAATAGGGGGGGGGGGGGGGTTCGTCAAACGTGTTTTAATGTCAGCAGACGGCTGTGTCAACTTGTCAAGGTAGACAGGGTCACACGAGAGTTATGTTCCCACGACCCGTAGACCCATGCTCTCACGACCCGTATATCCGTGATCTCATGACCCGTATATCCGGGGTCTCATGACCCGTAGACCCATGTTCTCACGACCCGTATATCCGATGTCTCATGACCCGTAGACACATGCTCTCACGACCCGTATATCCGTGGTCTCATGACCCGTATATCTGGGGTCTCATGACCCGTAGACCCATGCTCTCACGACCCGTAGACCCATGCTCTCACGACCCGTATATCCGATGTCTCATGACCCGTAGTCTCAAGCTCTTATGACCTGTAGACCCATGCCATTGTGACCCGTACAAACGAGGTCCCATGACCCGTAGACTTAAGAGAGGGTCACTATCCATCTTTGTGAAGATGTGTAGCGAGTAAAAATAAGTTTTTATGTATTGGGAAAATTGGGGGGCGGGGGGGGGGGGGACGACCAATAATAACTCCATCAAATTAATTTGTTGTTATATTATGTGACAATGAGTTTGATGGAAGGGGGCGGGGTGGAGGTGGAAGGTAGGGGAGGGGATGATGTATCAAGTTCGTTAAAAAGCGTGAAGTTGTTTATGGATAACTCCTCCAGTTCAAATTTGAGAATAAATTCTTGCTATTTTACAACTTTAAGCCGTCTGAACTTCGTTGTGAAAGAATATTTTCACTTTTATGAAAGTCATGTTCCTAATGTCGTTCAATTTGCCCGTTGCAGTTTTTAATGCCTACAATACATTAAACAGCCTTGTGATATTTTCAGAGTATACATACAAGACCAAAGAATGGGAAGCCATAGTATGGCTGGAGTCCATAGCTGCAGGCATAGCTGTGTTGCTGTGTGTCATGGCCCTTGTCTATCGGGCTGGGTTTGGGGTCTGGAAGAAGATGAGCAGCCTAAATCTGGCTATGACCATCACGGCTATCCTCACGTGTGAGTACCTGCTCAAACCTTAAGTTTAACTGGATTTACCTTTTGCATACCTGGTCATACCTTTTGTATATCTGGTCATACCTTTTGTATACCTAGTCATACCTTTTGTATACCTGGACATACCTTGTGTATATGTGGATATTCATTGTGTATACCTTGGCATACCTTGTGTATATTTGAGCGTACCTTTTGTATCTGAAATACCTTAAGTATGACCAGATATACTTTTTGTATATCTGGTCATACTTTTTATATACCTGGACTTACCTTTTGTATATGTGGATATTCATTGTGTATACCTTGGCATACCTTGGGTATACTTGAGCGTACCTTTTGTATCTTAAAATACCTTTTGTATACCTGGATATAACCTGTGTATACCTACACATACCTTTAGTATACCTCGACATACCTTTTGTATACCTGACATGTTTCGTATAGGCCTACCTGTACATGCCTTTTATATAAATGGACAAAAGTTTTGTTATCTTGGCGTAACTTTTGTTTACATAACATACTTTTTGTATACCTGGTCATACCGTATGTGTGTTACCATATACCTTGGTATACATCTCGTTCAACAAGATATATTACATATTTCGTATACCTGGCCATACCTGTTATGTGTGACAATATACCTGGGCATACCTCTTGTTCAACAAGACATACCTATTGTTTAAGTGGACAAACCTTTTATATACCATACCACACGTTGTGTGCACCTGTACCCACATCTCTTCTTACCAGTTACCTGACCATGTAACATTCTCTACTGAACTCTTTGCTGCCACAAATACAGGTTTCATGTATTGTTCACATCAATGAAACCTCGTCTCTTCAAAATGCTAACATGGATTTAACGCTCCACCAATGACTAAAATTATACCCTTAACATACAAACATAATGTAATAGGTTACATACACTGTATGAATACGTAAGTAAAGTAGAGATTCCTCTTTAGACCTAACGATCCATTGGGCAGATAAAGTGGAGTTCATATGTTTCTTGACCTCGGCATATAAAGGGATAATATGGTCAGCATTAGGCCCAGCCGCCTTTACTTTCTTTAAAGTGTCAATTCGTATGTAGTGTGAATACGTATGTAGTGTGAATACGTATGTAGTGTGAATACGTATATAGTGTGAGTACGTATGTAGTGTGAATACGTATGTAGTGTGAATACGTATGTAGTGTCAATACGTATGTAGTGTGAATACGTATGTAGTGTCAATACGTATGTAGTGTTAATACGTATGTAGTGTGAATACGTATGTAGTGTGAATACGTATGTAGTGTGAATACGTATGTAGTGTGAATACGTATGTAGTGTGAATACGTATGTAGTGTGAATACGTATATAGTGTGAGTACGTATGTAGTGTGAATACGTATGTAGTGTCACTACGTTTGTAAAATCAAACTTTTTCCTGTCCCTAGGGCTGCCCCTGGGTGCGGGTCTGATCCTCTACATCATCCGCTACGGTCTGGTGATCACACGCAGCCCCGACCTCAACAGTCGCAGCTTCCCCTGGTCGCCGCTCCTGTGCCTCATCGCCGGGGTCATCTTCTTCATCGTCCCCTTCTTCATCCGCCTCAAATGCAGCCACCGGAACTACATCCAACACGCCATCCCGACATCGGCCGACTCCAAGATGGTTTTGAACCCGTCTACCAAAAACCAGATCATGAGACGGTACTTCAGCCCTTCGCCGTACCGAGAGGACCGCCGTCAAGCGCTGCAGTCGCCAGAGTCTGTTTACTCTAACGACCAGAGGTATCTCCTTGGCAACGGTCACGCTAGAGCGATTACCAATGGAGGGTTTACCAACCCTTCTATGAAGGCTATTGAGTACGAGGTTGTCGACAACCAGGTTGGCGTGTCGGGGGATGTGCAGTATAAGTACACACCGGTTATAGAGACGGCAAATTTGGTGACAGGGGTCACGCTAGGGTCAGAGGTCACAAAGGGGGAGGTTGTGAATAGAAACATTGTCTACAACAGCGAGGTCAAACCTTTGAACAATATCGAAACCACGCAGGTGATTGAGCGGACATACGTCACAAAAACCGGAAGTGGGGGGTACGGTGGGAACTACTCGACGGATCAGGCGGAGTACCTGAGGAGGCAGGAGGAGATGCACAGGCAGTGGGAGGAGCTGCAGGCTCAGGCGGCGGAGAGGAGGTTCAGAGAGGAGAGGCTGGTGGGGACACAGGTCGTCCTCAGTGACCGCCGACACGACGGCTTCTCCGACATCAACGACGACGCGTCCGTCGGCAAGACCATCTTCTACACCGGGAAAGAAGGAGTCACCCGCGTCCTCGGCTCCGGGCTGCGGAGTCAGTCAAACTACACAGCGGAGGTGACGCGAAATGAGGGTCACTTCAAACAGAACGGGGTCGTCCAAGAGATACGGACGGTCATTCACCCGCCAACACCCCCGCCCCAGGTGTATCGAGAGGTGAAGGTCATCGAGCAAGAGAAAGGTCATTTACATAAAGATTTCCGGGTTTTAGCCGACAGCAGTGTTGATAAATCGGGCGTGTACACGTCACACATAAGGCCGGCTACTCCATCTGGGGATAAGCTAGTTCTGTCCCCTGGTTATTTATCCGGGGATCGGATCAAGTATAACGGTACTTACATGTACCGGCCGTACACGGAGGAGATATACTGAAACACACGCCCTGATAAAAACTCATAGTCTTAAAATATGATGACGACTTTGTGAGAAAAAAACAACTTGCTGCCACAAATATCCTAAATGAACTAGTGAGACAAATATCCTGAACAAATAAATGGCACCATAATCCTGAACAACTACTGCCACAAATATCCCGAAAGACAACGGAGACAAAATTCTGAGAAAAATTCCTGTCACGAACATTACATATTCTGACATTTGTCAAGCCAGGGTAGGTAACTCATGAAAAGACGAGTACACAAAGATAACCAGCAGTTATCGCAGCTTTTCAATTCACCAAAAGAAAACCGAAGTCGTCAAATTCGTTTGAGCTATTAACAGAAGTTATGTTTAATCTCTAGCTTTCGCCTTAAGTTCCGTCACACATCTTTCGTCATCGTGGGAAAACATGCATATATATAGTCATATGATACATTTATTTATTACGATTTATAATATTTATAAATATAGTTTATATGAATTTTTATCAATTTATTCAAAATGTAAATATTTAACTCGACCAGTTGTTCATAATTTTGTTAAATTTATAATGCAAATTTCAAGCTTATACTTTTGTATATTTATCTTGTGAAGATTTAAATAAAAATAAAAATATTTTTGTGTCCAGAGTGTATTGTTGTTATGAATTGTTTATCTACTAATGAAGGGCAAGCGATACATTTGTTGATGAAATTTACTGATTGGTACTTAGTGGCTTGAGAACCATGTAACTAAGGTGGAGACGAGCCGCGAAATGCTAGGGGCCCCCAACTTTTTAGGTGAATAAATCAAATTTCTGAAGACTCGATAACATTTTCCCACGTTTTCTTTAACTTGCTTTCGTCTCTGTTTGTTTGTCTTTCCAATCAAATCTTGCGATCGAAATTTCTGGCACTTCCCAGTTAGCTAGCGCGCTGAAATTTTCAGGGAAGCTTTGTTTTGGATGACATTAGAATATTCAATTGTTATTATTACTAAATTGATCCATGGAAACATTTTATTGAGCATTTTAGACCGCTATATAATTGTAGTAAAAACGTGGGGAAAAAGGGACATCACCCAGTAACTGTAATTTGATGAAAACAAGGTTCGGTACTCTCCCTCTTTGCTTACTGAGTAGTGTTCACGCGGTGTTTGTGTACAAACAACCGTAACAACTGGTGGCCAGTATGGGGGAGACGATATGGTCGAGTGGTTGGGCACACGATTGCTATCCCACTCGACACGGGTTCAAATCTATGTGTTCTAGTCAGTAACGTATTCACACAACGTGTTTTTTACGAGTTGTCTTTTTACGAGTTGTCTTCGTTTACCCAAAAAAAAGTGAAAAGATAAAATCGATAGCAAGATTTTAATGCAAACAAACAGACAAAGACTAAAAAGTAGAAAATAATAATCATTAAAAAAGTTTTAAAAAACCCACGTTTTCTGATTGAACTAAAAAGTAGAAAATAAATGCTATACATCACAATAATGCAAGCGATCACTCTACTATAAGCGATCAAAAACGTGGGGCGCCGTGATTTTCTTACAGTTTCTAATACTGTTGACTCTCTACAAGCTCCCTAATAAAAGTCAATAGTATTATCTAATCAATAGTAATATAACTTTTACTTCGTTTATTACGTTTATCTATATATATAAAGCAAAGTGGTCAGGTGCCCGATAGGGCACTTCCTGGCGCCGCAGGCGCGTCAAATTTGGCACGATGGTGCCTTGGAGCGATAGAACACGAGGGCCGGTGACGGTTGGCCGAAAAGTCTACGGAGAGGGGGTCAAAACTGACCTCGACTGTCCGGCGCCTTATATGGGCTATATTACGAACAAAAATTTCCTCCGACGACCCCCCTTAAATTTTGTGAGGTGGCAGGAGAACGCCTTGGGGTTTCACAAAAACCTCGCCATGTCCGGGAAAATTCGGGAAATGAGTCAAAACTGACCAGTCGTATTTCCCTATATAATCTTTGTATTTTATGGCAAAAACAGAGGGTGATTTCAAAAGGTATTTTAGGGCACTTACCGTCTTTACATCTGGCTAATTTTTTGCATGTTCTTAGGTAAATGGCTTGACCTTTAGAGAAAACTGTCGGTTTCACTCAAAGCCCTCGACGAGGGCTAAAAAGTGACCGCGAGTGAAATTCTCTTTATATGAGCTCTTTTACTAAGAAATTTTTCCTCCGACGACCCCCCTTAAAATTTTGTGAGGTGGTAGGAGAACGCCTTGGGGTGTCACAAAAAACTCGCCATGTCCTGGAAAAATCGGGAAATGGGTCAAAACTGACCAGTCGTATTTCTCTATATTATCTTATTTTATGGGAAAAACAGAGGGTAATTTGAAAGCGGATTTTAGGGCACTTACCCTCTTTACATCTGGCTAATTTTTTGTATACACCTCTAAAGATGACTACGCCGTATGTAAAAACTGTTGGTCAGACTTAAAGCCCTCTAAGAGGGCTAAAAATGACCGCGTGTGAAATTCTCATTATACGAGATTTGGTCATTTGGTCTATGAACAGGGGAGGTAACTTTTTAATGTAATAATTTTTAAATATTTTGTATACTCTTTTTAAGAAAAAAAACAAAAATCATAAAGTATAGCATTGTTTTAAATAAATATTTTGTTACAAATTAAGTTTTGCATTGTACTGATATTGTAAAAATTAATTGCGAAAGTAATTTATTATAATATTTGATTGATACTATTAAGAAACCCCTTGCAGTTCTAATAACCGTGCGAGTAATAAGTATGCGAATATTCCATCAATATTTGCTTAACATGCAATTACTCCACTGTATAAATTTAGGCCCTAGGCATTTAACATATATATATATATATATGTATATATATATATATATATATATATATATATATATATATATATATATATATATATATATATATATATGTATATATATATACTAGACTTACACGGTCATCCCTTGGATAACTGTGGGTTTCGGGGGGTCATCCAGAAATGACATCACGTCAGTCACTTATCATCACAAAATAACCTGACCCCACATTCAAAAAGACGTTTTTCATCTTTTAAAAACACCGATTTCGGTTGAGCACAGGTCTGACCACACTATCCCTTCATAAATGACGTCACAGGTGACCTACTCAACTCTGCTTCACCTGCCCAGTGTCCCGCCAAGTCTCAGACAACATGTTTTTATCGTTTAAAAAAAACGATTCCGGCCGATCATGTCTCTGACCACACTATCCCTTCATATGCTTAGGACAAAGAAACAGATGAACTCTACTTCAGCTGCCCTGTATCCCGCCAAGTTCAGATGGTCAAACTTATCATTCACATATAAAAAAAATGAAAAAAAAATTAACGTTGACGTGATCTGTCTAAAATCCGTGCCACCCGCATGAAAGCCTATTACACTAACAACTTAGCTGTCTAGACTCGTGACGTCACTGATGTTTTTTGTGGTATAACTTAATACTATGAGTCTCCTTATGCAACTTGATTTACGCGCATAGGCCCTATCTAGATCTAGATCTAAGTCTAGTAACTTTCAAATTAAATTTTATTTTAAATTAGCCAATAGCATAGCTAAACAAACAAAGATTTATATAAAATAATGAAGGTCTGAAATAGATTCTAGATGTAGAATTTACATTAAGTCTAGATCTAGAATTTACGTAAAGTCTAGTGACCTAGATCTAGATCTAGATCTAGATTCATAACTTTTTCTTCTTTCGACAGCTGATCTGTAGATCTAGAGAAATTTATTGTAAAACTAAATGAAAAAGACAGTTGAAAATTGATCTAAGCGTTGGAACGTTATAAATACAGCAAACGGACGTATTGTTAAAGTTACAGCCGACAGAAAATTAGCTTTGGAATGGGAACACAATCTTCTTCGATAGAAGCGCCATTGTTGATGTAAAAAGTAAACAAATCATGTGACGTCACTATTCAGTCAAAGTAAAGCCACTGTTTGAAACTTTTATAATTAATGTGGTTAATCTAGCAATGAATAAATCAGTAAATTAATTAACGTCTTTAAATACATTTGTGATTAACAGTCTGTCTGAAAACGAAAATTGTTCTCTACCTACATACTATTTTACAGCTCTACACATTTTGCAGATTCTCTCCAGTAGCCCATCAGTCAAACAAAAAAACAAACAAATAAATATTATACGAGGCAAAGCATGACACGATCCCCTCTCTAAACGCAGACCTCACTGTCAGTTTGTACGACAACATCCCTTTCAGTGGTGTTTTAATGTGCATACATTCAGGGGCGGAACTACCAAGCCACAAGACCCCACATTGTGGGGGGGGGGGGGAATCAGGCCGCTTATGGGTCCCAAAATATGATTAAGAAAACTATGCATTATTTTTCATAAATAATGTTTATTCGTGCACCTTGACAGTGGTTTTGTTAAAAAAAAAACAGGTCTACTATAGCAATGATTGTTCTACAGTAATTAATACACAATGTTGCGTACAGTGTTTCTTCCAGACTTTTTTCTCCGGGGGGACACAATTTTCCGCGGGGGGTGGGGGCAGTCACTGTTAAAAGTATATATTTTCAATATAAATTCCATTTCGTTCGGGGGGGGGGGGCCGGGGACGGGGACGCTAGACTTTTCCAGGGGTGGGAGGTGGGGGCGGTGTCAACCCCCCCCCCCCTCCCCGAAGAGATGCCTGGAAGAATTTCTGGTTGCGTAGCAAAATATTTTTAGAACCTACAGGAGCTGTAGAGTGAATGATAGGTAAACGTTCACACCACTTCCATGACATAATGCTCTTCTTAAAATAGTCGAATAGGGGTGTCCATAAAGTTTATATATATATATATATATATATATATATATATATATATATATATATATATATATATATATATATATATATATACTGGGTCCAAATGTTTTTTTTTGCGAGGGAGCCATTTTTTTCTAATTCCGCCATTGCATACATTTCACTATTTCACTTTATACAATACAGCGACAAACTCTGTTATTGTGGAGATGGCAGTTTAGCGCTAAATAAACATGTCAAAGTTTGGTAACTCAAACAAAAGTTCAACAACTCATTCGAAAACCGACGGTGTACATAACTCATTTGCACAATACTTATATCCTTCACTGGTATTTACGTGACACGCGTTTCGTGTATTATTGCTATCATTTTTGCCTTCATCCCACTTCATGCTTTATCAAGCGGACCCCTAGCCAAGCACCGTTTAGAATTTCTCCTGTTTGAATATGTTAATGAGCGCTTGATCTTATTTTGTTGTTTTATAGCTGATGACGTACCCATTGTTATTTGTTGACATAGTCGTGTTTTTCTAGAGACTGAAACACGTGATATTGACGTCACAACATTCACCGCATTTCTCCTCGAGGTAAATATTAAATCTACGTGTTTGATAGTTATTATTGATTATGAAATTGTTAAATTGGCCTAATAGTTCCCTACCCAGCTGCGATATTTAGGCTTAATAGTTCCCTACCCAGCTGCGATATTTAGGCTTAATAGTTCCCTACCCAGCTGCGATATTTAGGTTTAATAGTTCCCTCCCCAGCTGCGATATTTAGGCTTAATAGTTCCCTACCCAGCTGCGATATTTAGGTTTAATAGTTCCCTCCCCAGCTGCGATATTTAGGCTTAATAGTTCCCTACCCAGCTGCGATATTTAGGTTCAATAGTTCCCTACCCAGCTGTGATATTTAGGTTTAATAGTTCCCTACCCAGCTGCGATATTTAGGTTTAATAGTTCCCTACCCAGCTGCGATATTTAGGTTTAATAGTTCCCTACCCAGCTGCGATATTTAGGTTTAATAGTTCCCTCCCCAGCTGCGATATTTAGGCTTAATAGTTCCCTACCCAGCTGCGATATTTAGGTTTAATAGTTCCCTACCCAGCTGCGATATTTAGGCTTAATAGTTCCCTACCCAGCTGTGATATTTAGGTTTAATAGTTCCCTCCCCAGCTGCGATATTTAGGCTTAATAGTTCCCTACCCAGCTGCGATATTTAGGTTTAATAGTTCCCTACCCAGCTGCGATATTTAGGCTTAATAGTTCCCTACCCAGCTGCGATATTTAGGCTTAATAGTTCCCTACCCAGCTGTGATATTCAGTCAACAAGCTCCAAGACTTTTTACAGATTGACCGTGACCTATGTAATAAAATACCAATTTTCATGTCAAATGCGTTCGACGACTTAAGGATTACCCAGGGAGGGGTGGGAAGGCCACAGAGTTCCATATAACATTCACTGATGCAGATGGACAGATGGACCATTCTATACATACCAGGTTCACCGTCATTGTGGTAAAGATCACTTTCAGCCGTGCACGTCATCAGTGATAGACAGGCTAGGTCTTACTTCAAATAAGATCTGCACCAAGTTTAGCACTTGAACATTTAAAATAAAAAATCCAGCGTTTTTCTTTCAATAAGTACACAGACATTGCCGCCTTGCACAGATATTTATAATTTCGCTCAAAAGTTGTACAACTCACCCGCAAAAAAATACACATATAAAATATAAGATCATAATTTAATTATGTTTAAAGATATTTATTCATTAAACATAAACTAGTTTACAGAAAGACATTGTCGTATACAAAAAAAACATAACAAAACACCTATATAATCATGTTATTCAACAGAATCAAATGTAATATCGAATTAATGTTTTTAAGTCATTCGTCCTAAATATCAACCACTCAAAAAATATTTGTATCGCAAATTTCTGGAACGCGACACAATCAAGCAAAACCTTGCTGGATCCCACATTTGCACACGTTATGACGCCATGTTATCCACGGCCCAACTTATCACCCTGGCTAGAGCAGCATCTAACTTAATATTTCCATCTCGTCAGGAATATTTGTGGCTCCTGCGGGGCCGAGAAAATATTTTCGTTTGAAAATTACACCCCCTCCCCCGCCCCCCTCCCATTTATGCACTGCACAGATCCACGACTCCACATCGAATCCTGTTAGGGCGATGATTGGGCGCGGTTAATTTTGTTTTCATTCGAGTTGGGGGACGATTTGTACACACAAGTCCGCCATTTCTCACCCTCTTCGAGAGAGAGGTCATGCGGTTAAATCCTAAATTTTATGCACGGGCAGCTTCGCCCAAAAGTTTAAAATCAACTCAAGGGGGTTAACTTGGTTGGAGTCTTCAAGACTAAGTCACGCCACATCGTGTGCGCTGTGTTTTTTCGGAAGGGGGAGGGGGGTTGGAACTAGCATGAAATGAACTTTTAGGGTAAAAACAGCAGTATTTTACACACTCAACGTTTAATTTGGATAGTCCAATCATCAAAGGTTGAAACTTTCATTTATTGCACCTCACAGAAAGTTCCGTTGCGACCGCTATATAATGAGAGAAGACACAAATATCACAGAAGTCAAATGTATTCAACGATATTTGAACCTTGAATCTCTTGAGCTACACGAGTCGCTATAGGCCTTGAATAAAACACCATCAACTCACAAATCTGATGTAAAATATTGTGTCATCGCCGATTGTACAGTTCTTGTATTTTCTCTTTTTCATATCTGTATCTACTCATTAAACTGGTGCTAATGCGAAGATTTATCTTTGTATCTGTATACTACAGATACAAGTAGGTTCAGTATTGAATACAAATTTGCCTTTACCCACAGTTGACTGTTAGGTGGGGTTATATCCAATTAGGTTTGAGTGTGGGGAAGAATGGGTGTTAAGGCTTCATTTGGTCATGTGACCTCAACCTTGTCACACCTGGTCATGTGACCTCAACCCTGCCACACCTGGTCATGTGACCCTGCCACACCCATGTTTAACAAAATGTCCGAAGCTCCTCCTAAAGTCCCGTGTAGCGGCCGTGTAGATGAGGGGGTTCAGGACACAGTTGGTCATGCCCAGCACCAGGAAATGTGTCCCGATGGTCTCCTTCAGCCAGCACGGCGTGTCCAGCGGGGAGGCGTCCAGCAGCGTGGCCACCATGAACGGGGACCACGTGACCAGCAGGCAGCCAACCACGATCATCAACTGACGGATACACTTCCACTCCTTTGACGTCATCCACTGTCCCGACCCCACACGCTGGTGGTGAAGCGAACTGATCGCCTCGATGTGTTTAATATGTAGCCTCGCTTTCGAATACAGGTAAAAATATATCACAAAAATGATACCTATAGGCAGTAAGGAACAGGTGAGCATAAATATAATGTAACCACTGTCAAGGACGTATGGAAACGAGCAATGAAAACCATATTCGCGGGTGTTCCATCCGAACAAGGGAGCGAATCCGACGAGGAGGGAAACTAGACTAGCAGACGTGATGGCGACGGCTGCCAGACGATGGGTGACGATTCTGTGGTAGGTCAACGCCCTTGTGATTGCCAGAAATCGATCTGATGCGATCAGCAGGAGGAAGATGTTGGTCGCGCTGATAGAGCTGAGGAACAGTCCCAGTCGAACTAGACAGATCTCCAGGTTGGGTTCGTCCGAGTCTAGAACCGCGGTGCCGACGGAGGTGACGCCCACGAATAAGTCCGAGACGTAGAGGGATGCGATGAACCAGTGGCCCGGTTGCCGGAACCGGTCGGTTTTAACCGAGTAGACCAAGATAGAGATGTTGGTGAGGAAGATAAAGAACAGCACAGGGATCATGACAAAGTGGCAGATCTGTTCGTGTATGTTGGTGTGATCGCTGAGGCAGGTGGCGTTGGTTAATAAATCTGGCAAGATTGTGACGTGTGTTGACGTATTTTCCAGAAGCTCTTCTCTGTGTTTGATCAAGAAAATGTCTTTTGTGCTCGACAGAATCCCCATAGGCATGGTATTAAAAAAATATTTTAAAATATTGAAAAAGTTAAATAATATTTTTTACTTTAATCCAGAAATATTTATCTGGCACAAGTCAACGACACACCAGACTTAAACTGAACTGTTTTAACAACGCTTGGTTTAAACTTTGCAAGGTCGAACACAAAAATGACGTCATCAGTTGTATTTTAACAAACAGATCCATAACATGCACAATTATTTCATTCGTTATTAACATGGAAAAATTGTTCCTTTAAAATCGTAATCCAAAAAAACATTTACAGAATGCCTGAAGAAACAAAAATGTGTTGATCCTTACTGCTATATTAAAAAGATGACAAGTCCGACTATATAATCACAAGGAAAGATAGTGAACTATGACTTGTCTTCCTCCACACAATATTGTTAACGCAATCAATGTCACACCATTTAAAACAAAACAAAATAAAATTACGCAATTTTCTATAAATAGCTTTATTTTTTTAAACAACGTCAGCCAATGAACAACGGTATATTAAATATCACCTGACAAAGACCGACCAATTAAATAGGGGGTGTTTTATTTACGGTCCCTATCTGGAAATTGGAGGGTATGGGGTGGAGTGGGGTTTATGGGTGCATGGTAGTGTTTCCGGTAGCGAGGAGTGAACTCCACACTGAGCCAGTCGTAGGTGCTTATGGCGGCCTATAAATTGAAGAGACAAAGACAATAGGCGTAAAAAAAAGTAATGTCTTTACGACAGTCTAATTTTAACCTGGTTAGTGTTGTCTTATAATGCTGGACAGGTTTGTTGAGTTTATTACATCAGGATGTTGTAAAATTGATAAGGGTGGGGGGTGGGAGGGTTGTTATTGGTAGGGTTGCTTGTAATGTGTTGGTAGGTGGGTAGGTAGCTATGGTCGGTGGGGCGCTCCAACTCCCACCCTACCCGTACAAAATAGCAAATTATGCAATTTATCTAGATAAAATATAATATGACAAGTGCCCCCCCCCCAATACCTACGGAGAAAAAAATATATAAGTGACCCTGCTGTTCGGTTTAATATTGTGTGTGTGTGTGTGTGTGTGTGTGTGTGTTGGGGGGTGGTGGTCGGAGTGATGGTGTGTTTGCTCTAGTTTTTATATGGTTGAAAGTGTGGTTGGGGATGGGAAGATACTTTGCGTGGTTGAGTGGTTGGAGAAATGGGCTGGTTCTCACTTTCTTAAATCAACGGAAGCTATTCACACGTTTTGGTTACACTTTTAAAAATAAACAGTCTGTTTTTGTCGGTCTCCAATTGTTAAACCGCCTGGATATAGATTCTAATGCCAATAAAAGTGTTGCTGTTTTAGAAGGGGTGCGTAGAGCGATGAAGTGAAATAAAGCAATTAAAGTTAACGACATCAGCTGAAGTAAAAACGTTTCAAGAAAATTGGTGTCATTGAACTTCAGCTGTTGTACCTTGGGAAAGTATTTCAACCAATCAGATTTCAGAGTTTCATCCAATCAACAATCAGCTTACAACACACCTCCATGTGACGTCAAGCTTGTCACGTGTTGAACCATTACACACCCCCCCCCCATTAAATTAACCTGTCTCTCCGTGCTCAGTTCATTAATTATTCATGAATTTGGATTTATAGCACATTAAATACAACTCGATAAAATAAAGCATCGTTTAAAATTTCAAGTTTATTGACATTAGATTTGACAAATGTAAACATGGAACAGATTTTTGACAATTCAAGGTTAAGTATTATAAGTCGGGCTACATAAAATTTTAACGCATGCGTCAGTTATTTCTGAGGTGTTAAGTGTTTAACAAAAGCGGAGTAACTAAGGCGTATGAAAACATCAGCACGAAAGTTTTATAAAGATGCATTAAGTAAGTTCCCTTTTCAACTATGGTGTTCTTTGAGGCTGATCAAGGAGATTTAATATTTCTGTGACCTCGGCATATAAATTAAATGGGTAGTGAGGTCAACACTAAGGCCACCAGCCAAAATTGTCTCTAAATTTTGACAGGCACCCATCCCGGACGGGATTCAAACTCGAGACTTTCGAGCTAGCACCCACGCGCTCCACCTCCCAACCACTTGTCCCATTAAAGACGCACTAATATACATTTTTTTAAAACCTGGGCCGGACAGAATCTCAAAAGAAACGCATGAATTATGTCGAAAAACTTCAGTTTTGTAAGAAATCTTGGATATGAATTGCGAGTAGGTATGACACACTCTCAGAAAATCCAAAATAACATCACCAGGCAGGGGGTGAAGGAAGTAACGAGAAGAATATTCTGACAGAGGTATCTCTCGAGGTATATGAGATACGACATACGTATAAATAAATGACCGAACTTTTCGTTAGAACGGCCGTATGCTCAATTGGCAGAAAATACAATAATAAAAAAAAATATTACGATGTGTCTTTTGTCTTTATAGTACTTGAAGTAATTTGAGTACTTAGCACAACTGGCTAAATTCGTAGAGAATAATTTTAATTTATAAAAAAAAACAACTAACTGACTAGGTTGCATTCCCTCCTCCACCCCTCCCTCCCCTCCCCGTATAATTTGTTTTAGAACATAATCTAGCCAAACATGTTACAAATACTCGACTAAACTCCACCTAAACATGTCACAAATACTCCACTAAACTCCACCTAAACATGTCACAAATACTCCACTAAACTCCACCCAAAATTTCACAAATACTCCACTAAACTCAACCCAAACATGTCACAAATACTCCACTAAACTCAACCCAAACATGTCACAAATACTCCACTAAACTCAACCCAAACATGTCACAAATACTCCACTAAACTCCACTCAAACATATCACAAATACTCCACTAAACTCCACTAAACAAGTTACAAATACTCCACTAAACTCAACCCAAACATGCTACAAATACTCCACTAAACTCAACCCAAACATGTCACAAATACTCCACTAAACTCCACCCAAACATATCACAAATACTCCACTAAACTCAACCCAAACATGTCACAAATACTCCACTAAACTCAACCCAAACATGTCACAAATACTCCACTAAACTCCACCTAAACATGTCACAAATACTCCACTAAACTCCACCCAAACATATCACAAATACTCCACTAAACTCAACCTAAACATGTCACAAATACTCCACTAAACTCCACCTAAACATGTCACAAATACTCCACTAAACTCCACCCAAAATTTCACAAATACTCCACTAAACTCAACCCAAACATGTCACAAATACTCCACTAAACTCAACCCAAACATGTCACAAATACTCCACTAAACTCAACCCAAACATGTCACAAATACTCCACTAAACTCCACCCAAACATATCACAAATACTCCACTAAACTCCACCCAAACAAGTTACAAATACTCCACTAAACTCCACCCAAACATATCACAAATACTCCACTAAACTCAACCCAAACATGTCACAAATACTCCACTAAACTCAACCCAAACATGTCACAAATACTCTACTAAACTCCACCCAAACAAGTTACAAATACTCCACTAAACTCCAAACAAACAAGTTACAGCCTTTTTACCGAATCTCCCGTTCTAAAGGGCCTTTCAACCAAAATAATAAATTCTCCTACAGGCGATATCTCCCTGTCTGTATTTCACCCCCTCCCCCCCCCCTCAAACCACTCCCACCCCACCCCTATATCCGTTGTGGCGTCACTCTGGTGATTAAAAACAAACAAAAATATTGTATGCTCTTCTTGTCTAGCCCACTTAAACTCATATCATGCCTGGGGATTAGTTGACCCAAGACGGGATTAGGGCCTGTAGTGTTGGTTGACGCCATCTAAGCCTCAAGCTCAGATTAAATGATAGGAATTTCTTCCAGTTTTTCATCAACAGACTAAAAGATAGGAATTTCTTCCGATTTTACATCAACAGATTAAAGATAGGAATTTCTTCCGATTTTACATCTCAGACTAAAATATAGGAATTTCTTCCAGTTTTTCATCAACAGACTAAAAGATAGGAATTTCTTCCGATTTTACATCAACATATTAAAGATAGGAATTTCTTCCGATTCTACATTAACTGATTAAAATATAGGAACTTCTTCTGACTTTTCATCAGCAGATTAAAAGATTCTTCTGATTCTACATAAACAAATTAAAGATAGGAATTTTACATCAACAGACTAAAAGATAGGAATTTCTTCCGATTCTACATCCTTCTGTTTGCTGCTGAGGAAGAATTGTTAACTCTTTTTTAAATCGAATTTTCTCATTTTTTTGTAATTTATTTTTATATTAATTTTTTTTAAAGCCTTGATTTTTGGCTTATAGGATTAACATAATACGCCTTGCCAGATATGAAACTTGTTAAAAAAGGAAATTGAGTTCGAAGATTAGGAATGTCTGTACATTATACTTATTCTTTTTAGAATTTTGCTATTTGAATGGCATGTGTGGTTAGGTTCACTCTTAGACAAAGTTCACGCGAGAGGAGTGTAGAATCTGACAGATTAAGAGTTGAATTTTGAATTTCAGGATATTGTAAAGAATTTGGCCAAACAAATGTGCCAGAAGCCAATTTGGCAACTCTGACACAAACCCATTTGAACGAGAGAGTATTTAGGTACAAATGTGACGTTTATGTCATTACTAGAAAAAGTGAGTTGTCTGATTTTAGTGACTCTCTTGCCACGTGACATTATTAGTGACAGGAGCTAATGGCTAAAACTCGACCCACGCTAAAGCCTCCCACTCTCCCCACTCCATCTACCCCACCCACTCACCTCACCCCCACTCTACCCACCCCTCTATTCGTTAGTAAATGCAAACTTTCAACAGATAATTTTCACTTTTTGAGAAGACTTCGTTGCCCAGGGTTTTTGTCATACATTGTGTATTTAAGGAAGTGTCATAAAGTATAACAATTTATACATTGTCTCTTAATCTTGAAAATTCTGCACATCTTAAACATGACCCTTAACATACCTAAGGTTATCCAATAACTAATCTTGTCCTTTAACTAAAACGTATTCCATCCTTGACTCAGAATATATCATAAATATGGGAGATCGTCCATAAATGACGTCACAATCGAAAGGGGTAGGGGGTTCGTGAGGTGTGACGTCATTTTAGGTGTGGGCGGGGGTGTCTGGCTTTTTGTGACGATGTGTGACGGAGGGGGGGGGGGGGGGGGGGGGAGGTAAAAATCGTCCAAAAAAAGCGTGAGGTCATTTATGGATGACCCCTGTAACAAATGTTTTAACCTACAATTTTTCATAACCCTGACCCATAATTTTCACCCTTGACACATTTCTTGTAAAAATTGTCTCGTCCATACCACCGTAAAGTCACCTCACAGTATTTACACTAATTTACACATTTACTTCATACCTCGCAATTCCTAATCCCTAAATCATCTTAAACATCGTCTCCTCCATCCCATTCCGTTATCGCCCAACGCCCCCCCCCCCCCCCCCCAGTTATTACCCGTCGCCCCTCCCCCGCCTCAATTCTGTCCTGTAACAAGTATTTACAGAGCTACCAAATCAATTTGAAGAAGGTGAATGGTGGGGGTCACATCATCATCTCATACACGTCGTTAATCTCATCAACTCCGTCATCTCTCATCAAGTTTGTGAAACCTTAACAACACAGTCTCCCACTGTCTCAACAGTACACCCCCCCCCCCCCCACGTTAAACAGCAAGCGATCATCTCGCTCCAGTGCTAAAGGTATAACAGCATTCATTTCGCTGCCCGGCTTTTTCGCCGTCGCTAACACCAAAAGTGTCAGGGGCCGGTAACTCCTTCAAACATTTCCTCCGGGAATTCCGTGTTTACCTCCCATAATCTAGTCTAGATTTTCATTCTCGCTTTCGACTTCATCATTTTTTAGTCACCCCCTCCCTCTCCCCCGCTCCCCCATCTTGTATCCCACCTCATCTCACACCCCAACCACGAAGACGGCCTCACTCACCCACGTCTTTTAATACACTTTTGGAACCCTCCCCTAGGAACGTCACATCCTCTCACCCTTAGCGAGCGGGGGGATGGGGGTGAGGACGGGAGTCTGGTCCAAAATTTGGACACGGGACCTACGAGAAGAGACGGGGAACTTTCGAGAGTTCGTCGCGGAATGGGGAGATAAGCTACAGTCGACTGGCGAGTTACGTCCCTTACTTTCTTATTTACGGTGACGAGAGTGTGTGTTTGTGTACCGTTTCAACATCTTGAAGTTGGTTTGATTTCACGTATAGATCCAACTGGATGGTGGTGGAATGTGTATTTTGGGTGGAATGTATTCTGTGGCTGAATATCGATCAAGCGCTGTAATCGGTGTTTCGGTTTGATAAAGATTGATTATTGAAATATCAATAGTGTTCGGAATTCACATCACAGGAAATAATGCATTGACTTGTATGTAAGGTAGTGGATTTATCGTGATGCAGGGAAGGAGATATGTTTTTATAGGGGTGGATGTAGGGGAATAGTGGTATGGATGATAGCAGTGTCGGCCAATTAGTGGAGAGTAATTAGTTTCGGCAAATTAGTGGTGAGCAATTAGTGTAGGCCATTTACTGGAGAGCAATTAGTGTCGGATACTTAGTGGTGAGTAATTAATGTCGGATACTTAGTGGTGACCAGTTATTATTGGCCACTTAGTGTTGGGCAAGTAGTGTTGACTACCTTGCAATATGCTACTACTATACTAATACTATGCTACTACTATGCTACTACGTAGTGTCAGCCGGCCTGCGAGTGTGTACCAGCTAACTTTTGGCTGTCTATGTACCGCTAGTCAGCACTGACCACTCTGATATCCGAGCCTATCCCACCTGACCGTAGGTGAGCACCTACCACCAGAATGTGCATGTTCCTGCTACATTTGGCTCTACTAGGATTCTTTACCTCATGGACTGCAGGTAAGTGACGCTAAACATCTATCCTCTCTTATATGAAATATTCTCAAAGTTAAGGAAACAAAATAAAAGTACGACATATCAGTGAATAATAATATCATAGCATGAAAACTCAAAGAAACAATACACTTGGATGTTTAGAAGAACGCAACCTGGGTGTTTAAAACAGCAAAGTTTGGGTGTTTAATACAAAAAAATTTTGGTGTTTAACACAACACAACCTGGGTGTTTAATACAACAAACTTAGCGTGTTTAATACAACACAACTTGGGTGTTTAATACAACACAACTTGGGTGTTTTATACAACACAACTTGGGTGTTTAATACAACTTGGGTGTTTAATACAACATAACTTGGGTTTTTTATACAACACAATTTGGGTGTTTAATACAACACAATTTGGGTGTTTAATACAACACAACTTGGGTGTTTAATACAACACAACTTGGGTGTTTAATACAACTTGGGTGTTTAATACAACACAACGTGGGTGTTTGATACAACACAACTTGGGTGTTTTATACAACAAAATTTGGGTGTTTAACACAACATAACCTGTGTGTTTAATACAGCACACTTACATGTAAACACGCTAAGCACTACATTGTAAAGAGACAAATATGTACAAGTTTAACTTGTGAATCCATTGGTTGTGGTTGACCTTTAAATGCCAGTTTTTCTTGATTCGTGTATCTTTCGAAATCATACCATATATGTCCAACATCAACTGATTTCACATGGCATATTAAGGCATATTACCATAAGACAGACTTATTTTAACTTACACTTTTTTTTCAAATAGCCCTTAGACTAGTTTAAATTAGAGCCGTAATATTTTGTTTACGAAAATTCTCTAAGACAGGCGTTTAAAAAAACAAACAAACTAGACACCTAATAATTTGTGTATATACAGCCCTTAAATATACATTTTAAACGTAAACCCCTAATACTTTGCTATATACAGCCCTTAGATTGACATTTTAAACATAAACCCCTAATACTTTGCTTATATACAGCCCTTAGATCAATGGTTCCCAACCTTTTTCGAGTGGCGACCCCCTTTTATAAAAAGTAAGTGATCTTCGACCCCCATAGAATTAAAAAGCCGAAATTAGTATGGAAATTAATAAGCACTAAAATAAGATTTTCTAGTAGACTTTCAATATGAACTACTCTTGATAACTGTTTTAATAGCATGAGTAAAATTGCATACTATTCACTAAACCTTCGTGGTTAACTTTTTAATTAATTTTTTTTTTTGTTAACGCCAACCTATGTCATTATAATTATCTTAATTTTGTTTTTAATCGAAGAATAGTGTTGAAAATATATTCTCGAAAAGTCAATCAATTTTATGTTTGGGTACGAATGGTGAATACTACACCAAAATTGTGTCTGCAGTTTTTTATCTTACTCGGAATCATTCTGCAAATGAAAGAATTCATCTTGTAATTCAACGGGAATGCTTGCAACATCAAGGGAAGAAGAAAATAGGTAATGCGTTGCAGTTCGTTTTCAAGAGATTCAAGATGCCCAGAAATCGCTTCTTTCAAAATTTTAATTTTCTCAAATTTACAACATTTCCAAGATTTATTTTCTTTACCGATTTTGCAGTTTTGATAAAAGTGCCTCGCGATTATCATGGAAAGTTATAATATCCGTTCATTTTACCTGAATTTCAGGTTAAGCTTATCTTGATGTTCGAACACATCTGCTAGGTATGGTACTCTCTCCAACCAACACTCTATGTCGTTTTAAGTATACCAAAAAGTCATGTTTCCTTTGCACTTCAAAGAACAATTTGATTTCAGATTTCAATTCAAAAACACAATTTACAACATTTCGTTTGACAGCCAGCGTACTGTAGTGTAGAAGAGCAGAACCTCGTGATCTATATTAATGTTTTTTCTCAGTTCTTTGAAGGCTCCAGATTTTATATAATTTACGCCTTATACTAGCAATGAACTCTTGATGTCAATTGGTTAGGGTAGTGGTTAGGGAGCTAAATCTTTTCTGTTTTCTGAAAGCCCGATTTTGAGCTAAACATAGATGGCGCGCCATCCGTACAAACCCCCACAGCCGTTCTAACCCATTTTAATCATCCAGTTTCAAAAAAGGTATTTATTTTCTCCATGCTATCTTCACAAAAGTGCAACTCTTCTTTGCTATCATCCGCATGAATAAAGACACAGACCAGCAACTGCGAACACGAATTCACGTCTGTTGATTTATCAACTTGAAAACAAACAATGGTGAAAGCTTAATTTCAATAAAAATGTGTTATTTAACATTTACGTACATGCAGCGTTTGGTGAGATTTTCTCCTATTGATTTTGTTTTTCGCTTGGCATTTTCTATCGCGACTTCATTTGATGCTTGCACTAATGCTGGTGAAAACATCCTGTTCGATCAAGTCTCTGGCGTTTGCAACTAGCTTCTTACCAACGAAAGAACTCCATCTATTTTTGGTGTGTTCCGAATGACTTGTCTCAAATGACGTTTTAGTTTTGAAGATTTCATAGATTGGTGACTGAGAACAACTTTGTACAGTGCGCTTTGTTTCTTCTCTATTACATTTCCAGTGATGTTAATGAAGCCGAATTTCAAAAATTCTTCTAAATATTTATGTTGTGTTTCAAATAACTAAGGTTAAGTATACCAGTTGGCGACCCCCCAGAAAGACCTTCGCGACCCCCAGGGGGGTCGCGACCCCCAGGTTGGGAACCCGTGCCTTAGATTGACATTTTAAACGTAAACCTCAAATACTTTGCTTATATACAGCCCTTAGATTGACATTTTAAACATAAACCCCTACTACTTTCTTATATACAGCCCTTAAATATACATTATTTTAAACGTAAACACCTAATACTTTGCTTAGATACAGTCCTTAGATATACATTTTAAACGTAAACCCCTAATACTTTCTTATATACAGCCCTTAGATTGACCTTTTAAACTTAAACCCCTAATACTTTCTTATATACATCCCTTAGATTGACATTTTAAGCGTAAACCCCTAATACTTTGCTTAGATACAGCCCTTAGATATACATTTTAAACGTAAACCCCTAATACTTTCTTATATACAGCCCTTAGATATACATTTTAAACGTAAACACCTAATACTTTCTTATATACAACCCTTAGATATACATTTTAAACGTAAACCCCTAATACTTTCTTATATACAGCCCTTAGTAATACATTTTAAACGTAAACTATAATACTTTCTTATATACAGCCCTTAGATATACATTTTAAGCGTAAACCCCTAATACTTTCTTATATACAACCCTTAGATATACATTTTAAACGTAAACCCCTAATACTTTCTTATATACAGCCCTTAGATTGACATTTTAAACTTAAACCCCTAATACTTTCTTATATACATCCCTTAGATTGACATTTTACGCGTAAACCCCTAATACTTTGCTTAGATACAGCCCTTAGATATACATTTTAAACGTAAACCCCTAATACTTTCTTATATACAGCCCTTAGATATACATTTTAAACGTAAACACCTAATACTTTCTTATATACAACCCTTAGATATACATTTTAAACGTAAACCCCTAATACTTTCTTATATACAGCCCTTAGTAATACATTTTAAACGTAAACTATAATACTTTCTTATATACAGCCCTTAGATATACATTTTAAGCGTAAACCCCTAATACTTTCTTATATACAGCCCTTAGTAATACATTTTAAACGTAAACCCCTAATACTTTCTTATATACAACCCTTAGATATACATTTTAAACGTAAACCCCTAATACTTTCTTATATACAGCCCTTAGTAATACATTTTAAACGTAAACCCCTAATACTTTCTTATATACAACCCTTAGATATACATTTTAAACGTAAACCCCTAATACTTTCTTATATACAGCCCTTAGTAATACATTTTAAACGTAAACCCTAATACTTTCTTATATACAACCCTTAGATATACATTTTAAACATAAACCCCTAATACTTTCTTATATACAGCCCTTAGACTTTTTACCCCTAATATTGTGACAACATACAGACAAAGATGAAACATGTGAGATATAACTATTGTTTTCGGAGAACAATGTTTTCTTTTTAAATTACGCATCAACAAAGAAGATGGGAGTGGTGGGGGGGGGGGGGGGTATCAGGAGGATGTGGATAACTGATCGCAAGTTAATTTTATCGCTCGGGGCTCCAGCAGTTTTGATGGATGCATATCTCGACAGGTCCAGTTACCAACATGAACCAACCAACTCAGACTTTAAAAAAAACAATGCGATAGTAGACAACTCAGAGTTGTCGTTCTTTTATTTTTTTTTTAGATTTTGTTTGATGGGAGGTAACTTCCAACCAAATCTACAGAAGCAAGGAAAATAAGAATAATAAAATGATATTAAGCAGCATCGTTGTTGTTGGTTTGATTCTATTACATAAATAAATAGTAAAATTGTTATACTGTGGTTTTGCGTATATTATTACAAAAATAAATCCCAATAAATTTTGGTTGTCTTTAAAACACTTTAGCATTATTATTTCAAACTTTATATAAATACATGCACTACCGAGTAAAACACGTTCATTTCTCCGAAACTCGTATGAGGGAATTCAATTTATTTCTTACTTTCTCGTACACGAAATGTAAAGTAAATTATTACTGGAAACCAGGGGTCGGCAACCTTTTGAGACGGAAGAGCCAAAAGTTACAATTTTCAAAATTTCCCAGTTTTTAAAGAGCCACAAACAATTTTTATACCAATATTTTATTTTTCGATTAGGATTAGGTAAATACATTTGATTTGCTATTTAAAATAAATAGCTTTAAACATGACATACACTTCTTTCGCGAGAATAACGAAATTAGTAATAAAAAATAAAAACATTGGACTATCCCCATCCCTATTTAGAAGCAGTTATCTTATTCTGTCTTTACGGACACCACTGGCTCAGGAGGTGTCTCCCATTAGCCAGTCAGGTCAGAACACGACAAACT